CCATACTTGTGTGTGAGAGTCCTCATCTGTGATGAGACTTGAGTTTCTCTTCGTGTCTCATTGTTTTCTTGTGCTTCAGAGTTAGAAAGAAAAGGCAGCAGTTGTGCCAGTGTCACCAACATTTTGTGATGATGTTTGTAAACTCACTCTGCTCCCCACCCCTACCCCCAGAGGGTAAGCTTTTTAGGGTAGAATCTGGCCTCTTCATTTTGCATATTAAGTGCCTGGCACGTGAAAAGTACTTGAACTGCATCTTTGGAGCCATCATTTCTTTGTACGTGTCTGCCCTCAGGAATGTTTTGAAGGAAAAACATGCTTGCTTCATCTGCTGAAGGATTACTTTTGAGACATACCAGGCAGTCCTCTGCAAGCGCAATCCCCCATGTCTGCCAGGAGCAGAGCCACACTGCCCTCACCCGCCACATTCCGCTGGAAGGCCCCCTGGTCCGCTTGCCATGTGCTAAACTGGAGTTCTGAGGCAGACGAACCCTGAGAATTGCTCATGGTTGGATGGTTTTGCGTGTTCTAAAAAGCGACTAATTCAAAGCCCAGGAGATTTGACGATGCAGATCTAGGTAGTAGCTCCCCAACCTGGCCACTGGGGTTGGGGGATGGGAATCCTGTGTCCTGCATTCTGCCTCTTTTCCTTCCTGCACCTAGTTCTTTCTTTTTTACATTCCCTACTACTCTTAATAAGGCATTAACTGTTTGTTGTATTGTGTTTGCCCCCTCCCCGCAAAAAAAACCCAAAACCAAAACCAAACAAACCAAAGCCCAAGTCCCCCTAACAGGAGGGCAGCCTGTTTGGATGCTTCGCATTTTTGCTTGTATATGCCCAAGACTATCACTTGCCTGAGGAGCATGGAGGGATTGGAAGACGAGTTTTCATTCTTTATCGTTTTGTATGATTCAAGTTTTACCCTATGCCTGTTATTACTTAAAAATATAGTTTATATAAATTTCCTGTTGCTTCCTATGTATTCAGGAGATCCTTTTAATTTTTGAAGAATTGAGTTTTAATTATAAGTAAAATTTATTAGTTGCTTAAAGAAGGGATCAGTTGATATTTTTGATAGGTTGCAGGGGTTTTCCAGAAATGGGCTTAAAATAAACTTGCTACATTGGGACTATGGCTTTCTCTCTGTTCTCTGGCCTTTGGACTAGGAAAACGAACCCGGCCCTGATCTCTGAGATAATGCAGTCTTTCTGGGCTTATGTGAAAGGTAATGCTGAACACACCCACGCTGACATCTTGTGCTTGGTGGCCATGCTTTATTATTTATGAACTACTTCCGCAAGGTGCTGGAATCAAGTGAATGTAAAAGGAAATAAACAGAAACGCTTAAAAATTGAATTGATGGCCCTGGCCAGTTTGGCTCAGCAGTTAGAGCGTCGGCCTGCGGTCCGGAGAGGCCCGGCTTCGGTTCCCGCTAAGGGCACGTACTTCGGTTGCAGTTTGTCCCTGGCCCTGGTTGGTCGTGCGGGTGGCAGCCACTCGATGTGTCCCTTCACGTCGATGTTTCTCTCTCTCTCTCCCTTCCTCTCTCTCCCTCCCACTCTATCTGTACAAAAAGTGGAAAAATATCCTCGGGTGAGGATAAAAAATAAAAAAAAAATTGAATTGATGTTTAATTTTTTAAAAAATGTTTTTTAATTGACTTTTTAGAGAGAGAGGAAGGGAGAAAGAGCTAGAAAGATCCATCAGCTGCCTCCTGCATGCCCTCTACTGGGGATCGAGCCTGAAACAGGGACATGTGCCCTGGGACAGGAATTGAACCGGGACCTCTCAGTCCATGGGACAATGCTCAACCCACTGACTCATACCAGCCAGGCTTGAATTGATGTTTAAAGATTAAAATCCAGTTACATGTACTGGTTGGGGATTCCTCAGGGTGATTTATGGATCATGGCATTCACTGTTGTTATCAAATCATGCTTGTGTCAAATATCCTTGTCTAATATTGATAGTAGAAGAAACAACTCCTGTCTTCCCTTCTATCTTTAGTAAATCTAGCACAGATTTTTATAAATTCTGAACGTTTGCATGCAATGCTTGCCTGCTTATGACCCAGTCTGCCTTTCGCCTCCTGAAATAGCCCTGTGGCTGTTCGAGGCTACTTGGTGTTTGGTTTGTTTGTGAAAATAAGCAGATAGGACCAGTTGGTGAAGTGTCTGTTCACATCTCCTCTTGGTGTTGGGAGTTTCCAAAACAATCCCACTTAGTGCCTGGGGATTGAACCTGTGCATCAGGTAATAATAGGTCCTTAGGGAGGATTCTAGAGTTGGTTGGAGTTTTGCTCAAAATAAACAGACTTTGGCACTGATATTTTTGGAAAGGCAGGCTTGGTCCCAAGAACTGTCAAGTATGTATTCTTTTTTTTTTTTTTTCATTTATATTCAGATAAAGCGGGAGGGAGAGAGAGGGGAAGAGAGAGAGAAACATTGATGTGAGAGATACACATTGACTGGTTACCACCCACACAACCCCAACTGGGGCCAGGGACAAACTGCAACCAAGGTATGTGCCCTTAGTGGGAACTGAACGCAGGTCTCTCTGGTCTGCGGGCTGATGCTCGAACTGCTGAGCCAAACCGGCCAGGGCAAGTATGTATTCTTTAAAAGTCTGCCCTGTCTTCGCATCCCCTGGGTAGAGAGGGGCAGCTCTCTGCTCTGGCTGCTGTGGTCCTCTAAGCCCTGCATTCTGCTTTCAGCAACTTCCTTCTTTCAAGGTGCCTACTTTCAAGTTGGTACTTACAAAAGCTAACCACCCTTCATCACCATTTAGCTTATGACTGTGGAGAAAAATACAAATAATCCTCCCAACATCTAAATGACAATTATGCAAACTGTTCCCGCCCAGGTTCTGGAAAATGTATTGGAAAGACACTAGGCTGACAGAGACCAAGCAATCTCTCAGGCCCTTGCATCCCCCCTCCCTCTCCAGCTGTGGATTGTGGTTTTAAAAACCATAAAAGAGCCCTGGCCAGTTTGGCTCAGGAGTTAGAGCGTCGGCCTGTGGACCATAGAGTCATGGGTTTGATTTTGGTCAAGGGCACGTACCTAGGTTGTGGTTCTGTCCAGCTCTGGTTGGGGTTGTGCTGGAGGCAACCAATTAATGTTTTTTTTTTTCTCTCTCTCTCTCCCTCCCTCCCTCCCACTCTGTCTGAAAATAAATGGAAAAATGTCCTCGGGTGAGGATTAAAAAGTACAACAATGACCATAAAAGATTTCTCCTCAAGGTCCAAAAAGCATAGCTGACATTATTTTCTCAAATCTTGGCTATGTTTTGATAATGCATGTTAAGTTATTCTCGATGACTTTGTACACCGGACTTTATGAAAGCTTATGATTTATGTCTGATGGCAAGCCATGGTGGGTTTTCCCCCTTTCTACTTTTATCTTAGGATGTTGAAATTTGAAGTTCAAACTTTCCTCAAAAAAAAAAAATTAAATTTAAGTCCTTCTTTCTGTGTGTTGCAAAAGGTGGCCCATCGAAGACCAGTTAGGAGAGAATACCAAGCAGTAATCTGGTGTAAGGGACAAAAGGGAGTCTCTAGTGCAGAGCTGACTCAGAACCCAGTTGTGCCCCTTGGTGGTCGTAAGGCCTTGTACCAATTACCTCACTTGTGAGCCTCAATCTCTTTATCTGTAAAATGGCTATAATACCCAATTTGGGAGGTAAAGCAATGTCATTCTTTTGAGACTGAAATGAGGATGTTTCTCAGTGTGTGCAGCACCAGGTATGCTGGAGGTGTTAAGTGTTAGGTTTCCACTTCGCTGCTGCCTTCCTTTAAGTGTAGGTGAACTGAAACAGCGAGGGCAGTGATCTGCCCTGTGAGCAAGAAGGCTGAAGGTGAAAGAGGAAATTGTGGTTGTTTGGACAAAACCATCATTTCCTTAAAGCCCATGGCCCTCAGCTCTTATCTAGGTCACTAAAAAGAAGGTCAGAATGTGGGTTCTCAGTTTGTGAGGGTGACTCTGGGGCTGACAGTCTGGAGACCGTGTACTAGAGCTGTTTGCTCTGTAGGGTCATGCTGCTCACATCCTTGCAGTTCACCAGCTGGAAAATGCCGAGGGGAGACTTCTTTTTTCTAAAGTTTGTCTTTCAATGGAGTTGAACGGGTGATATATCATTCGCCATATCTTGAAGTAGTTTGCAAATGACCAAGAGAAATACTTGAATAATGTTTAAAATACCCCACCCCCTGATTATGAAGCTAGGGAAGAATGCCTCCTTTCAATTTTCTTTCTTTTTTTTAAAATTGTGATAAAAAATTATACATACATAACAAAATTTACCACTTTAACATTTCTAGGTGTGTGGTTTTGTGGCACTAAGCAGTCACATTGCTGTGCAACCATCACCGCCGTTCATCTCCAAAACCTTTTCATTTTCCCCAACCGAAATGATGTCCCCATTAAATGCTAACTCCCATTCGCTCCTTCCCCCAGCTCTTGGGGACCACCATTCTCCTTTCTGCCTCTGAATTTGACTACTCTAGAGCCTCATATAAGGAGAATCTATATATATTTTTACTGTCTTATATTTTCCATTACTCCCTGGCCGGGACCGTTCTACAAACTCTTGCTTTTCTCTGAGATTTACTTGTAAATTTGCATTATACCTTCTTAACTATGTGTGTATGATCTTTGCTTTTTACCCTACTGAAGGAAAATACCAGTCATAGGAAATGATGTGATGGAATGTTTATTTTATATATTTTATTTTTAGACATAGCACTTTATTGCATCAAGATTTTAGATGATGCTACACTGAGTACAGAATCAGATCCTGTCTTTGTCTAGCGGTGGCTTCTCAAAAGTAAAACTACAAGTGCTGGCTTTATCGCCCACCCCAGCCTTGACTCCCCAGAGGAGAGTATAAGAATGTTTGTGTAAGAGGTTGGAATAGCAGAGACAAGAGGCCAGTTAGTGGGGATTGTGAGCATTGTTTTAGGCTCTTCAGTACAAAGGTGACCTCTCAGTCTTTCTCCTTGTAGGTGGTACACCTTGAAATCCAAACCAGGAAAGAAAGATAAAGAGCGAGGAGAAATTGAAGTTGACATCCAATTTATGAGAAACAACATGACTGCTAGCATGTTTGACCTTTCCATGAAAGACAAGTCTCGGAATCCATTTGGGAAACTGAAGGACAAGATCAGGGGGAAGAATAAGGATAGTGCATCAGATACTGCTTCAGCCATCATCCCCAGCATGTCACCCTCCGTTGACAGTGAGGATGAGTCGTCTTCGAAAGACAAGAAAAAGAAGTCAAAGATTAAGACCTTGTTTTCCAAGTCTAATTTGCAGAAAACACCACTTTCCCAGTCCATGTCTGTCCTGCCTACTTCAAAGCCAGATAAAGTGCTGCTTCGTCCTGGAGACTTCCAGTCCCGGTGGGAGGATGATGACAACGAGGATGAGTCCTCCTCTGCCTCGGACAGTGAGTTTCCTCCTCCTCCTTACTTGGCCTTCCTACCTCAGCACAACTTACTTTGCTTTGAGAGAGAAAAAACAAACAAATCTTAAGAGCAAGATTTAAATTCAGCTTCTCAGTTACTAAAATGATGATGGTGGTGGTGGTGATGGTTATGATTATGGTGGTGGTGGTGGTTATGATGGTGATAATGGTGGTGGTGGTTATGATGGTGGTGGTGGTGGTGGTTATGATGGTGATGGTGGTGGTGATGATGGTGATGGTGATGATGGTCATAATGGTGGTGGTGATGGATTAGTTTGGTTAGGAAGCCTTCTCTATTTCTCAGCCCTCTGTTTTCTAAGAAATGTATAAATTCCTTTTCCAAAATGTCTGGCTCTATAACGGATGTGCATTACTAGAAGCTTTTGGAACTAACAGAATGAGTACATCTGGGTTTTTTGTTGTTGTTTTTTTTAAATTAAAGGTAAAACCATGGAACATTAGTGATATTTCATTGATTCATCAGGTATTTATTGAACTCCTATTATTGGACTTAAACTTCATGGGATTCATCCCTAATCAAAGCTATGGAATCCAATTCCCTTAACTCTGAATTAACTGTGTATTTTGAACTGCAATTTCAATGCTCAAATCCCTACTGTTGGCCAGATCTTGCTATTCTACCAAGAGTGCTGCCCTTTTCATTAGTGAGAGGTAGGGTTTCTCAGCCTTAGCACAACTCATAGTTTGGGCCATATATTCTTTGTTGTGGGGGGCTGTCTCATGCATTGCATGATTTTTGGGGGCACCCCTGGCCTCTAGCTGCTAGATATTTTTCACCAGTTGTGAAAACCGAAAATGTATTTAGACATGGACAAATCTCCCCACCCCAAGTTGTGAACCACTAGTTGAACTTCTTAATTCCCTTTTTTCTTCCTTTTTCTTCCCACAGTCATGTCTCACAAGAGAACAGTAAGTGCAGATACTAAGCAACTGAACCAGATCAACTTCAACCTTCCCAAGAAGGAAGGGCTCTCCTTTCTTGGTGGCCTTCGGTCCAAGAACGACTCCCTTTCCCGCTCTAATGTCTGCATCAACGGGAACCACGTTTACATGGAGCAGCCAGAAGGCAAGAATGAGACCAAGGACAGCACCTCTTCTTCTTCCCCTTCTCCCCAGGGCTTCAGGAAGAAGCATTTGTTCTCGTCGACAGAAAACCTGGCTCCTCGGGCTGGGAAGGAACCTGGGGAAGGGGGTGCAGTGTCATCTGACAAGTGGCTCTCTGAGTCTTCCACAAAGAACTCCCCGAAATCCATGACCCTGCCGCCCTCCTGGCCCCTAGTCAGCGGGGACATTGGGGAAAATACAGCCCCAGCGAAATCAGAGGTTGTGAAAGAATCCAAAGACAGCAAGAAGCACGAGAACAAGAAGTCCTCTTTGCTTTCTCTGGTGACAGGAAAGAAGGACGTGGCGAAGGGCGGTGAAGGCGAAAGCCCTGCTGCCACGCCCGGGACGGAGAAGGAAGGCATGCGGGGGGAGGACGGGCCCGGGCCTGTTGAAGGCGTGGTGAAGAGGTCTGAGAAGGGTACCATGGCCCTTGTCTCTGGACAGGGAAAGTCCCTGAACCCCTTTGAAGAAGTGCAGATCACAGAACCGGAAGCTGACCCAGAGCCCAAGTCTGAGCCAACACCACCTGTTACCTCTGCCAGGGCTCCCCAGACCAAAGCCGTGAAACCTCGGTGAGTCTTGGCCGTCTCTCTGTGATCATCAGAGCCCAGGGGAACGCCATGGGTGCAGCAGATTCTGAGTGTGCACGTTGGGAATACCAGGTTTTGGTTGTGGTATGTGCAGGACCTGTATTTAAGTCCGTCGCACACCTCCCTTTGAGGCTGATGTTGTCTTTCCTCCTTGCATTTTAACACTGGTTTGCTGTCACAAGAGACCCTTGGTCCACTCTTGAGTGTGCCTGTGACAGTTTTCTGTGTGTTTACTCCATCCTGAGTGAGCCTTGGGAGTTTCTGCTTGTCAGCGTGACTCACGTTCACTCACAGTGTTTCTGTGGTCTGGATTGGGAGAGGCTTGTTTTTGAGATTCTGCTTACTTTGATTTCACACAGACACACACAGACTGACACAGACACACAGATGATTGCTATTCAAAATGTGTGCTCGTTGCGCTGTGGTGCATCTCTTACTGCTTTGAACTATTTAGATGCTTTCTGTGTTATCACCAAAAGAAACTGTAGGCTGTCGCTTTACCTGGATTTTTCTGTTTCTGTTGCAAAGCCCTTCGTGTGGCAGATGTGCTCGGTGATAAAATGTGTCTCTTTTGTATATTAAGTATTGTTGTGTTCCTTGTTTAACTTCTTAAGGTATTGCCCCAATTATAACGTAAGTTTTTCCCTTTAAACGACTTTATTTTTACATGTTTTTTGCCTCTCGTACAGCATCTGCAACTGACCTGCAGATTTTTTTTTGTCCTTTTTGCAGACTGGAAGTGTCTCCAGAGGTTCAGCCCACAGCCAGGCTTCCTCCTTCCCCTAATTCTCCTCTCTTTTTTTCTGCTCTCCCTTCCAGTTCTGCTCAGACACCTGTCCCTTCTCAGTCGGGGCATGCGTCAGAGACACAGTGCTCAGATTCTCTCTCGTTCTTCTCCGCTTTCTCCTCTCCCCTAGCAGCTCCCATTTCCACATCCACTCCCATTGAAAGCTGGCCTTCCACTGACCGGGGCCAGGCTGATTCGGAAGAACCACCTTTGCTCCTTAATGCAGAGTTGCAAAAAGAGAGTTTAACACAAGTTTCAGATGCTGTTTCTTGTGCCTTGGGATCACTTTCCAAACAGCCCACTACTGCAGTGTGTGAAAGGATGGAAGAGGCTCCAGTGAGGATGACCAGCGAGAAGGACACAGAGGAGAAGACCAGTGTCGATGACTCAGAAAAGTCTCTCCTGAAGCAGCCTGAAATGGGGCAGCAAGAAGAACTTCTGAGGTTTCCCCCTAAAAAACAAGACTATACGCCTCCCTCTGAAGGGGCCCAAGAAGTGACATTCGCCCTTTCCGTGCGAAGTGGCAGGATGGAAAGCCCAGCTGGGAAGCCTGCGATGGGGGGAAACACAGACTTGGAGAGTCGGTCTGGGTCTTTTGAGGAGAACAAAGTTAGGGATGGCAGAATGACTTCTGCAGTCAAACAAGTGGTACCCCCTCTTCAAATGGGAGAATCGGTCCCCCAATTTGACTCCACAGTGCGGAGACATGAAGAGATGGGTCTGAATGGCAGTGGGGGCCAAAGGAAAATCAAGAAGCATGTGTCATTTTCTGAGCAGCTCTTCATGGAAGAGGAGGTGGAGAAGTCACCTGGACTGGTTGAAGAGGACAAAGGTAATCCCCAGGAGCAGCGGTGTGAAGGGGTTGCCGCCGGCAGTGTGTGTGACAGAGAGCCGGCTGAGTCTCCCCACACAGAAGACTTGGAGGGGGAAGTTGTGATTGAACCCAGTGTGCCAGCTGCCACGGCCGATCATCTGCCCCGCCCCTCTCACGAGGAGAGCGTCTCAGAAGGCCCAGTGAGTGAAGCAAGCCGAGGGAAAGGCATTCCACTCTTTAGGACTGAGGAAGATGATATCCTTATGGCTCAAAATCAGAGCAAAGCCAGTGATCATGAAGGTCTATTGTCTGATCCCCTGAGTGACCTTCCGTTGGCCTCGGATGTTAAATCTCCAGTCACGGCTGATCTGGACTTAACCCTTCCTTCCATTCCTGAAGTCGCATCGGATGATGAAAGAGTAGATGAGGTGGAAGACGACCGAGAGGCAGCAGAGGTGGCAACTCTGGAAGTAGGAGCTTCTTCCTTGAGCTCGTTACCTGCCCATCCTGAGAGGGCACCGAGTGGCGAGGCGGGTGGGTTGGCAGTGCCCACAGACAGCCTGCATGACCTCAGGTCGAAAGCACCTGAAGCTTCTGTTAGGGCTTCTTCAGAGGAGACTACAACTTTAGAAATTCATAAACCACATCTTGGCAAGAGTTCATGCTTGGATACACAGCTGCCAGGTCCTGGTGATGGCAAGGAGGAGAAACTGATGGGAAATGGCAGGTCAAGTCAACCTCCTGACGTGGCCCTGAATTCTCCTGTCTCCAGGCCCTCTTTTTCTGAGCCCTCTCCTGCCACACACTCTTTCCCTAGCTATCCATACTCTGACACTCACCACACCAGTACAGCAGAATCTCAAAAAAAAGCAACAGCAGAGGGCCTCCCTGGTAAAGTGGAAAATTCTGGCAAGAGGAAGCCGCTTCTTCAGGCCTGGGTCTCACCCTCGGAGACACATCCAGTCTCAGCTGGAACTGGGTCAGCCAAGCACAGGTGAGAGTCGGGAAAGATTGTCTTCATAAATGTGAGCAATGTCCCCTTTGCTTTTTGCCTGCAGAGGTTATTATGGCTTTTTAACTGCACAGATGTTCTGATGGTGCAACCCACCTGTTTTGCTGGCAGGGCCTGTTTTAAAAGGGCTGTCTCTTGTGGTGGGAATACCTCAAGACACTCCTATGTTTGTAGCAAGAATGTAGTAGTAGTCTTCAAAAATAGTTTAGGAATTATTCTGCACAGTCAGATTCAGAGCTCTGAAATAGCAGAGATGTACCATGGCGAGTATCTTAATGGTCTCAGAAACCAACTGAGATTGAAAGTGTTTCAAAGCTTCCTTTTTGCACAGCTCAGTGCGAAGCTAACATGTTTGTTCTGAACTCTTTCTTTACTGCTGAGAAACAGAAAGCTTTGTAAGGGCTCCCACAGTGGAGTCCTAGGCTGTATAGTTGCCTCCAAAAATGAGAGACTGTCTTTAATGTTCTCCTGACATGGAGAACGAGGACAAGGGGCTTGTGAGAACGTCAGGACACCTGGCTGTAAGCGTGTGTGTTGCTGGCTTGCATATGGCTGCCTAGTCCTGACTGCTTTCATTTCCACAGGAACATTGGTGTGTGTTAGATCAGAGATGTGAACAGCGTGTCACCACTCTCCCCCTCATCTCTGGCTGGCTGCCATCTTTGAGATGGGCAGTTTCTCAGTTCTGCTGTTACGGAAAGGTCTAAGGATCATTTCTCCCTTCTCTTTAGACTTCATCCTGTGAAGCCAATGAACACAACGGCCACCAAGATTGCTAACTCCAGCTTGGGAACTGCCACTATCATCAGTGAGAACTTGATCAACGAAGCCATTATGAAGGTATGTCTTCTCCAAGACGTGGGCATGTTAGTTAGGGATCTGGAAAAAAAACAAAAAAAAACCCATTTATAGAGTCACCATTGTATACATTTCCCTGGGCAGCAGGTAATGCCAGGAGTAACTTAACCATACGTCTTGTGTCTTTGGATAATCTCTGGAAGCCCCTGCACTTGTCACCAAATAATTTCTTTTCCTTTATGTTTATTTGGTTATTGTTGAATTTTTGTTTCTCAAGTAACATAATTGACATTATCACTTTTTTTTAATGAGAAGAAAATGTCACCCACCATCTGGCCCATTCAAATGAGATATTTAATTTTCATGTATCCTTTCTTATCTGTTGGCAAGGATATAAAATTCTTGTAGGTGTAATCATTGCACAGATACATTTTTTGTAACTTTGTTCTGAAATAATTTCAAATTTTAAAAAAAATTGCAAGAATAGTACAAAGAACTCCTGTGTACCTTTCATCTGAATTCACCAATTATTAACATTTTATCGGATTTGCTTTTTCATTCTCCCCACCCACTCTTTGTTCTCTCTTTGTATATATTTTTTCTGACCCATTTGAGAGTAAGTTACTTATATCATGCCTCTCTTACTTCTAAATACCTAAGTATGGAATTCCTAAGAATAAGGACATTTATCAAAATCAAGAAATTTAACATTGATGTGATACTCTTTTCTCATTTACTGTTTAGATTTCAGTTTCATCAATTGTCCCATTAATGTCCTTTTTAGGCTAAATTTTTTCCTCTGGATCCAGGATCCAATCCAGGATCACTTATTACGCTTCGTGATGTCTTAGTTTTCCTTATTCTAGAGTAGTTCCTTGGCCCTTTTTTTTTATTTTTTTTTATTTTTTAAGACATGGCCGTTTTTAAAGAGTGTGGATCAGTTGTTTGTAGAATTTGTTTCAGTTTGGATTTGTCTGATGTTTCCTCAGTTTGGTTGAGGTTATGCATTCTTGGCAGGAATTAACTATAGAAATTACATGTTTTTCTCAGTGCATGTGTGAAGAGGCACATTATGTCAGTCTGTACCAGCAGCGGAAGTGTTACCACTGATGACTTAGTTTAGGTGGTGTCCACCCAGGTTCTCCAGTGTAAAGTTGCTATTTTTCCCTTTACAATTAATAAGAAATCTGTGGGGAATTAATTTCAGACTATGTAAATATCCTGTTCCTCATCAACCTTTGAGTGACAGGCTTTAGTATCCATTGATGAATATGATAGTTGCAAAGTGGTATTTCTAGCTCCATCACCTGCAAGGAAACACTCTTCAATTCTTTTTCACTTTGTAGTATATCAACCTTTTTTGCATGTTGCTGCTTAATTATTTGAAATGGTTATACCAATATTCACTTAACTATTTCCCTATCTTTGGATATTTAGGTTGTTTTCTGTGTTTGTTTATTTTTTGTTAATCCTCACCTGAGGAGGATATTTTTCCATTGATATTTAGATAAAGTGGAAGGGAAGAAGGGAGGGAGGGGGAGAGAGAGACAGAGAGAGAGACCGACCCTGACTAGGGCCAGGGATCAAACCTACAACCCTTCGGTCTGTGGGCCAACACTCTAACTGCTGAGCCAAACCAGCCGGCCAGGGCTTTCTATTTTTAAAATTAAATTTATTGAGATAACATTGGTTAATAACATTACATAAAGTTCAAGTGTACAACTTTATAATATATTTTCTGTTTTGCCAGATGAATAACACTACAGTCAACAATTTCTTGCATAGAACTTTTTCCCTTCCTTAAGATTATTTCCTTAAACTCTCCCTCCCCAAATACAAAATCAACCTCCCAGGTGATTTCTGCATTAAGTGTCTTCATCCTGCCCTTTCTGGTTCTAAAATCAGAAGGATTTAGAATCCTGCTTGTAGCAGACCTCTGGTCTTTGGCTCATTATCACATGGATTGAAGGAGAATGATATACCGAGTGGTTGGTGACCATTAGTGGGCAAGGATATATTGTGTTTCAAACATGTGGAGAGAGCCCTGGCTGGTTTGGCTCAGCAGTTAGAGTGCCTGCCTGCAGACCAAAGAGTCGCGGGTTTGATTCTGGTCAAGGGTACATACCTTGGTTGCAGTTCATCCCTGCCCCTGGTCGGGGTCATGTGGGAGGCAACCAATTGATGTGTCTCTCTCACGTTGATGTTTCTCTCTCCCCCCCTCCCACTCTATCTGAAGAGAAATAGAAAAATATCCTTGGGTGAGGATTAAAACAACAAAAACACAAATACGTGGAGAGGAATTTCCTAAATGACTACTGGGGACTGAAGTTGGTATAAATAGTTTATTTTTGTAAAGGTCATCTAAAAGTTTCGTTCAGTCATAGATTTTACCATCCCATGGACTTCAGGACATCAAATAGTTTTTGTGTTTTTAAAATAAAACTTTTTGCTCTGTCTCCTTCCCTCCTGCAAGCATTTGCAGGGCGGAGCGCGGGGGGTGGGGGTGTGTGTGTGTTAATCCTCACCCAAGGATATTTTTCCATTGATATTTTTTAAATAGAGTGGAAGGGAGGGGGGCGGGCAGAGAGGTGAAAGAGGCACATTGATTGGTTGCCTCCTGCTTGACCCCAACCAGGGCTGGGTATTGAACCTGCAACCTAGTATGTGTCCCTGACCAGGAATCAAACCCAAGACCCTTCAGTCTGTAGGCGATGCTCTAACTGCTAAGCTAAACCAGCCAGGGCCCTGCAAGCATATTCTAAGTTCTGGGTGGTGGATGTCGCCTCTGGCCGCACTGCACCTAAGCCACCAGGAACTGGGCTAAAGGCTCACTGAAAGTTGGAGATCTGAATTTCAGGTAAAGAGGCTGAGTAATAATAATGAATTATGGCTCAAGACAAGTTAGCATCTTGCCTTCTCTCGGAATTACCAGCTGCAGCCAGAACTGTGCACCTACCATGTTTTACCGCTAGCTTAAACATGTACCATAACTTGAGCAGCTCAGCTTGGCTGGGTTCTGCGGTTGTATAGAAGAGGCAGCACTTGTCTTCCTGGAGTTAACAATATTTACCAGGAAATTGGGCAAAATAAGAGTACAGGACATTGATGAAAACTAGAGTAATTTAGTAGCTTCCCATCCCCTCTGCCTTTTACTGTGGAATGCAGCTTGGCTCCAAAGAGAAACAACACCTAGCTTTCAGGAAGTGAGCAAGAAAGACCCTTGGCTCCCATTTTATTTACTCTTCAAAGCTTGTTTAATCAGGGGCTTATCTCCTGGCCCTGACAGAGAGAATAATCTGCCTTAAAACAAAGGCAATTGCTACTTGGTTTGCTCATGATTTGTTAAGTCCTACTGCTGCCCCTCTGCCTGCCTGCAACAAAGTTCTTGGTCCTGGACCATACCTAGTAAATACTTGGAGTAAATGTGGAAAGTTTCCTGCAGACTGCTGTTGGCTGGCCATATAATAGATGCTTTGTAATAAGGCATAAACAATACTTATAAAAGTAACTACTCTTTGGAATGTTGCAATGTAAGAGAGAGGTTAAAGAAATTGCATAGGTAGCCCTGGCTGGTTTGGCTCAGCGGTTAGAGCATCAGCCTGTGGTCCGGAGAGGCCCTGGTTCAGTTCCTGCTAAGGGCATGTACCTTGGTTGCAGTTTGTCCCCAGCCCTGGTTGGGTTGTGCGGGTGGCAGCCATTTGATGTGTCCCTTTCACATCGATGTTTCTCTCTCTCTCTCTCTTTCTCTCTCCCTCCCACTCTATCTGAATAAAAAATGGAAAAATGTCCTCAAGTGAGGATAAAAAAATAAATAAATAAGAAAGAAAGAAAGAAATTGCATAGCTAAAGTTACGAGAAGCTTGCTGAATCATTACTATAATGGTTTGGGGGGAAGGTATTTTTCTTAGGGCCAACATCCTTTATAGATGATTTATAACTAGGGTGTATTATTTACTCAGGTGCTTTGACACTTCCATTTAAAAATAATGTAGACAACTACATCCAAAAACCATCTGTCCTGTTTATGTGGAAAAAGTTGGACACAATTTGAATATACATCATTATTATAACAACTGTGTGGGGAAAAAAATCCAATGTAAAAATCCTGAGAGGAAATATGTGACAATGGGCACTGTTGTTTCTTGAATTAATGGGTATTTTATTTGTACCTCTTTCTCCCCATGGCTGGTGCTCACCTTTTATAATGTTGAATTGTTTTATAATTTTTTAAGTCATCACATTCCTAGAATCTTCTAATGATTTCAAAGTCCTACATACTTTTCCCTTTGGAATACAGACTCTAAATTGAATAGCTCTTTGACAGACTGTATGAAATACCTTAAGCCCTGGCTGGTTTGGCTCAGCGGTTAGACCATTGGCCTGCGGTCTGGAGAGACCTGGGTTTGGTTCCCACTAGGGGCATATACCTCGGTTGCAGTTTTTCCCCGGCTCTGGTTGGCTCGTGTGGGTGGCAGCCACTCAATGTGTCCCTTTTACGGCAATGTTTCTCTCTCTCTCTCCCCCTCCCACTCTATCTGAACAAAATATGGAAAAATGTCCTTGGGTGAGGATCCAAAAAATATATACACACACACACACACACACACACACACACACACACACCTTAAGAGTATATGTCTTTTTAATTTTATGCATTTATCTTAAGGAAATATCTAGAGATGTAACCAAATATTTATGTTAAATTTTAATTAAAATGTTATTATATAATTGTGAAAATTAAAAACCCAGATACCCAGCGAGAAACGTGGTTAAATATAATGGAATTTTAAGCATCCATTAAAACAATTTTTGCTAAAATGTAATGATGGGAAAAGGTTCACGAAATAATAATTTAAAGAAACTATAAAACTATATTCTGTATGATGTTAAAGCTGTAAAACATTCCATAAAGAAACTGAGGAAAAATAAGAAAGAGACCCAAACATTATGTGTTGGAGTTACAGGTAGTAATTTTTACCACTTCTGTATTTGAGATTTCCCATGTGAGCAGATACTCCTTTTATAATTAAAAACAAAATCCTGTTATTTGGGGAGGAAATTAATTGTAATTCACCTCCAAGTCTAATTCAGATGTCACTCCATCTTTGAAGCTTGTCCGATCACCTGCGTGGCAGTGGTTTCTTGTTTGTCCAGCTCCTTCGGCACACTGTACGTCTCTGAACTCCAACCTCCAACCTCTAGAACCTCAGGTTACAGTCATTGAGCCCCTCTTTTGTATTTCTTCTTTTTAAAAAAAAAAAATTTTTTTTCATTATTGATTTTAGAGAGAGAGAGAAATATCGATGAGAGAGAACATCGATTGGCCGCCTCCTGCATGTCCCCCACTGGGGATTTGTCCCACAACTTGGACATGTGTCCTGACCAGGAATTGAACCAGCGACCTCTTGGTGCATGGGTCGACGCTCAACCACTGAGCCACACAGGCCGGGCTCTTTTGTATTTCTTTTAGCTATTTAGACTTCTTTGCTGACTTGATCTCTTTTTTTCCCCTTCTTTCCTCTTCAAAGAAATACACCCCCTCGGACCCTGCTTTTGCTTATGCACAGCTAACCCACGATGAGCTGATCCAGTTGGTTCTCAAACAAAAGGAAACAATAAGCAAGAAGGAGTTCCAGGTTCGAGAGCTGGAGGACTACATCGACAATCTGCTGGTCAGGGTCATGGAAGAAACCCCCAATATCCTCCGAGTTCCGGCTCAGGTCGGCAAAAAGGCAGGAAAGATATGAATGGCCAGCATACAACACTGAGACTTCCCCGTGGGTTTGTTTCCACGTCTTCCTGAGGTCAAGGACTCTGTATGCCTGATAACCAGCATACTAGCTCCAAGTCACCATCTCTCTCCCTTGCCTCTTATCTGGCAAGAGTCAATTCTACCAGCTGAAGCCAGGTTAATTATTACAATGAATCTTTTACTGTACGTTCCCAGGATTTTATTTTTAAAATGCCACTGTGCCTTATGTTGTAAATATTTTATGCCCTGACCAAAGACATGGTCATAAGATCTGACCCTGGCCCAGAGAGTCATATGGCGCCAGGGGTATTAATGTATTTTAACATCGGGGTTTCCTTTCTTTGATATTGAGTATCACCCAGTCATTAACGCTTGGGGTAAAATGCGAAGGTGCTGTGTTACACGTACTTTCTTGGCTTTTGAGTAGCTCAGGTGTGTCTTTTTGGCAGCAGATGCTAAATTTTGATGTTACGTCAACCTCTCGGGCTTCTTAGACTTGGTCTTATTTTTTGACGGGCAGAGGAGTTTAGGGAAAGCCACTGAGTATACCTTTTAGATTTTGAACAAGTTGCCTTTTGTAAACATCAGCTTCCACTACTCTCTAGCCTTAAAATTGTGCTCTGTGTAGATCCACAGGACCCTTGAGAAGTAGAACAGGGGAATGAGTCACTTGACACTCACTTAGGGGGAGTTGGTCCAAGTCCCTCCTCACGTGATAGCAAGGTTCCTGCTGGCTAGAATGGCCTAGCCGGTGCCACGCTAAGGGACCAGGTGACCCAGCCCTTACTAAAATGGTTCCACCAGGTACGGAATGATTTTAGTGGGATTCCTGTGGCCTCTTCACCCTGTGCCTTGGCTCCCTGGTTTCCTTGGCAGCTCTTCCTGGCATTCCCCCCTTGTTATAAAATGGTAAAGAGCAAGAAGATGATACTTGTTTTGAGATTGCTGTATTTTTAAGACTGGATTAATACACATATTTTAAAAAATTAGGACACTTGCCCTCTTCTTAATTAACAGTATCAGTTCAAATTCTTTAGGTAATTTCATTGTTAGTAACCTAATGATTGGACTTAGCATGTTTCTGTATTACTCATCCTTCTTTCCTGGTTGTGACAGTCTCACCAGATCTGGACCATTCTCCTGGGGGAGGAATATTGCTGACCAGTGGGGCAGGCAGGGTGGCAATACCAGCAGGTATTAAATTGGGAATCTCTTCTTCGCATATTCTTGTTATATTGAGGTTAAGAGGCAAGATTGTTGGCATTGGAATTCCTCTTCAGGATCACGTTTGCTGCAACCTTAGTTCTATCGGAGCACTTTAATCTGAAGGATGGTATTGTAACTTGATTTATCTAATTAGTTTTTAACTACCTATAGCTATTTTATTTAATTCTCTCCTACAGTACTGGGGACCACCGTAAACTTCTCAGATGACTTGTATTTTTGTAGTGCTATGAAATTTATTTTCATACCTACAAAGAGAATTGTATATTCACTTGAATTCTGAAATTGTACATGTATATATTTGTTCCACAACATGTTTTTTTTACTTGATATAAATGTGTTTTGACTGTGATAACCCAAGTGCACTGGGGGACGGGTGTGCTCTGAATGGTCTCTCCTTGACGAGCAGGTGGAGACGTGTACTGTTCAGAAGGGGCTGGTTTGCTGATTGCTGCTGGGACCTCGGGAATGTGCCTTGGTCAGTGTTTGAGAGGGGTGCTGGGTGGAGGAGTGAATTCCTGTGCTCTGAAATGCCACTTGGGAACTCTGGAGAATGAAGGACAATTTACTTCAAGGGTGTCTGGTTTCGACCACTGCTGGAAAAAAATTCAACTTAGAGCATTCCTGTACCTCTCAAAGTTGGCAGCCTGAAGGTCCTTAGTTAATAACTGTTCCTGAGGACTCTACTTTTGGGGAGAATTTATCTAAGAAAATCTTTAGCCCACTCTAAGCCATTAGTAGGGCTTGGTGAGTTTGGTTGCTGGACTCCTACACCTGGCATATGCCTGAAGGCCTGTGCCCATCTATACAAGAACTGGGACTTGTCCCTAGCTGCTGTGAGTGCTAACCTAACTGATGGGCCCCGGGAGGAGGCTGTGCTCTGGAGAAGCAGGGGCAGCTCTCTTCTTGGCCTTGCCTACCTGCCTCCAGGAAGAATAGGCAGAACTTTAAGGCAGCATCAGATTAAATACCAAACACCTTGCAATCAATTTCAACTGGAGGTCAGCTCCATGAAAAAAATGTCAATCCTTTGCTTGGTTGTTTCATATCATCTCATTGCTTGGGCTTTGACGGGGGTCCTGCCCTTCCCTTTTATTCCTGTGTGTTAACCTCATCAGAATAGTAGAATGGAGGAGCAAGAAAGTCTGTCCTTTGCCACGAGGAACAGCTGTTGACCTGAGTGGAGAGGTGTGTGCATGCATGCGTGCACCAATGGGATACATGTGTGTGGTTCCAGCTTTGCTAACAGTGGGAGCTCGAAAGGGAGGAAGGTCCATGACACTCAGCCACATACTGTTGAAGGTCAGAGCCAATTAAATGTTAAATTATGCAGGATTTTTCCTCACTGGCTCCCTTCTCCCAATTGACTCTTTTTTTCTTTTTTAGAACTACTAATTAATAATCCCTCAAGGCTAAAAGATAAATTGTCTTAGGTAGAGAACATAATCTCCTAGTATCCACACCAACTTCAACACTGCAGTTTCTCTGTATTTATTATGTGAACTACTAACCTGACCTCTTCCTTCCTCCGACGCTTGAAGGATTGCCCAGTGTTTTGGGATTGTAGAGTTATTTCCTGCTTTATTACTTTGGGAATTTTGAACTTCTCTGATTTTGTTTTTAAAAAGTAACCTAAAATTTCCTACAACACTAAATAAAATGGTACTACCTTTCAAAGATTTGTGTCTGTGGTTTAGTATGGATGTAATGAAATTTTCTTCTGTCTTCCTGGACAACTTCCCTTGGGGGTGACCAGCATTTCTCACCCTCTGAGGATCTCTCACCTGGATTCCTACTGCTGCCACCTTGCCTGGTGCCCAGGGGTCCCAATGCCCTTTCTCCTCCAGAGAATGGAACATCTTTGATCTCTCTATGACACACCCCTCATCTTGGTCTTCCGCAGGGACCTCAGACTCTCACAAAATGGAGAGAAAGCTGCTTCTGCCCTTGCATATCAAGTGCTCATTTTAGGCTGAACCTTGACTACAAAAGGAAGTCCCATTTATTGATTTCCCACTGATCACTAAGCACATCCATCCCCCTGGCCACCCACTTGGTCTATAGATTTCTCTAAGTAAAGTTATAAAGGCTCATTCTTAGGGCAGGGGAAGTAAGACAAATCCTAAATTCCTCACTACCAAGAGTGTAACCTCTATTATTTTTATTTGTCCCAGCATCTTCCCCTCACACAAATAGATACATTTTTAAATGAAGATGATACATTTTTAAATAAGATACATTTTATAAAAGAGGATGAGTGGTACAGACTGTTCAGAACATTTCACATGCCTTTAGATAATTTTCTGCAACAAGGACCAATAGTAGGAAGACTTCCCCAGTTACCTCCCTCCCTCACCACCACCACTGCAGAGGAGCTGTGGCAACTGCAAAGATTATCTAGGTCACTTCTGGCTCAGGTTATCATCGTAGCCACCTGTGCACCAGAATGAGGCCTTGCTGGGGGAGCACCCTGTCCCCCTCCCCCATGGAAAACTCACAGGGTGTAGTTACCACTCTTTAACCTTGGCCAAAGTATCAGCATAGGCTCCCTTGAACTCAGTCTCTAACCAAATGGATCCCATGCCTAACCAAATGGATCACATCTTTTGTGATCTCCAGTGTTCCCCATTCATATTCAAAACTGGCTTGCTTGAGCTCTGTGGGACCAGCATATTCTAAAGCCACAAAGTCTCCGGAGGGAAGATGTCCTCACTTAGCCTTTTGATGTTCAACTATTTTACACAGAAACCTGTATCCTGAGCCCTGGAAATAGTCACCTGGTGACAGTGATAGGCTCTGCAGAATGGAGAGAAAGCTGCTTCTGTCCTTGCATATCAAATGCTTACCTCAGGCTGAAACTTGACTGCAAAGCCCATTTATTGAGTTCCTACTGTTCACCAAGCACTGATGCGACTATTTCTAATTCTCATCAAGGTAGATAAAATCTCCATTATGCAGATGAGTCTTAGAGAGGCATCAGAATTTGAGTTTGCTTGGGGTCACGCAGTGAGTACTTCAGAAAGAATTTGAGCTCACCTGTCTGACCTGGAGTTCTGGAGCAAATATAGCATTTCCTGTTTTTGTACAGCCAGCGAGCCAAGGATGATTTTTACTTTTTTTTTTTTTTTCCCAACTGTAAGATAAATAAGTCTAGAGATCTAATGCACAGAATTATAAGCACAGTCAACAACAAAACACTGAGATTTTTACGTTTTAATGATTAAAAAAATAAAAATGATGCTATTTTATGACACATGACAATTACATGGAACTCACATTTCGGTGTCCACCGGGTTTTATGGGAACACAGCCATGCTCGTTTGTTCACGTCCTTGTCTGAGACTGTTTCCACCTTACAGCAGCAGACTAGAGTAATTGAGACAGAGACTTTATTGTCTGCCAAACCTAAATATTTGCTATTTGGCCCTTTACAGAAAAAGTTTGCTGACCCCTAGACTAGGATCACTTTGGGGGCCAAGGAGATCATATTCTGATTCCCTTGGAATCCTGGAGGGTTGGAGCAGGCAGGGATAATGGAGACCATGCAACTCAGTCCTCCCTCCAGATGAAGCCAGGTAAGCCACACAGGCTCCCTGAGGAGGGAAGTTGCAGGTGAGGTGACAGTCTGTGCAGCGAATGGGGCCTGTGGCCACCTCCTCAGAGTTATCAGACGCCTTTGTTCGTAGGAGTTCACGAAATGGAACACATTGCTCCTCCACCCGGGAGAGGGAATATGTGCTGGGGTCACAGAATAAACAACACAAAAGGGAAACGTGAATACGAGTGAGGGAAGTTATCTGGCACCAGATTTAGGAGGTCCTGGCTGTGCTCTGTGCTGCGGCTGTCCCCTGAGGGTGTTGGGGAAGAATGAGTGTCCGCTACAGAGCTGAGGTGGTGGAAAGAAAATCCTGTCAGAAAGGCTCGAAGGCCTGAGCCACTGCCAGGCTTCGTGTGACAGAGGAAAGAGAGTCCTCGGGGCTCAGAGTGAAACTGGTTTTGGGTGACATTTCAGTAACAGCTGGGAGGAGCCCAGGGGTAAGGTCAGATGAAGGACCTGAGAGCAGCCCACTGCCCCCCTAGTTGCTTGCTCTGGATTAGAATGCTCCTGCCTCTGAGAGTCTGTGCTACTGCTGACAGGCCCACCTCGGATGGGTATGAATGGGTATGGATGGGTACGGATGGGTACGGTTGGGTACGGATGGGTACGGATGGGTACGGTTGGGTACGGATGGGTACGGATGGGCACGGATGAGTACGGTTGGGTACGGATGGGTACGGATGGGTAGGGATGGGTACGGATGGGTACGGATGAGTACGGATGGGTATGGATGGGTACGGATGGGTAGGGATGGGTACGGATGGGTACGGATGGGTATGGATGGGTACGGATGGGTACGGATGGGTAGGGATGGGTATCCCCAGGCGCTGAACAGCTCTTTACTGAGTGCCAGCCCTCGCTGTAGGAGGGGTTCCCAGCACACAGGGATGAAAAAGCCAGATCATTTCCTCAGAGACTTGCAATCAAAAGGAAAGTCAGACAGGTAAACAGCTAACTAGAATATACACATCGAACCAAGGGGGAACTGGAGGAGAACTTCCTTCAGGTCCCACGCCTTCAGTGCCTTCCTCTTTGGTCTCCTCTCTAGAAAGAGCTCTGGCCTTCATAAGGTCACTATTTCCCATCTGAACCATGGCTGGGCCTTTCCAACAGCCCCCTCCACGGTAGCTTTCTGCTCTACTCAAGCCCGTCCTGGGCATGCAGCATTCTAAAAGCCTGTGTGTCAGGAACCATGAGAGCGCTGCTAATGATGCAGAGATAAGAAACAGGGTTCCAGCCCTGGCCAGTTTGGCTCAGCAGTTGAGTGTCGGCCTGTGGACCAGACAGTCCTGGGTTCGGTTCCCGCTAGGGGCATGTACCATAAAAAAAAAAAAAGGAAAGAAACATGGTTCCAGTTTCACAGATAGGGGATGGGGGACGCGGGTTTGAGGAGAATCTGTTAAACAGACCATCACTATTATCGATGATGGTAACTCTAAGAAGTGTTTGTGGCAGTGGGAAGGGCACCGAGGGTAATGTCTCTGTCCTGATTTCCCAGAGGAAGGCGGATAAATTTCCTAAATAAATCAAGTTCTTCTTGGGAAAGTGCAGAATCTCAGACCTATACGTCTTGGTAGAGTGCGCCATCTTCTGGCCTGGGCCCTGCCCACCACCCAGCCTATTAGTGTCTGAGGACAACTGTGGCTCTTTTATGCTATCACACACTTGTGACTAGAAAATAGATCCACCTCTCCACTTCTTACAGTTGCTGGTTGGAGGATCATAAAACAGCTCTTCCATTTTACTTACAGTCACGTAGGGGAAAGTAGAATTTTAAGACTTCTGTCATGGGTAGATGACTATAATAACGCCATTATTTTAAAAAATGCAGTTATGTTCAAGATCTGCACAAAATTAGGGGTGAGAGGAGTCTTCTGCTGTTCTTGTATGATAATGTAAAGAGCTACTCTCAATGCTAATTATGTTGTTTTTAGGGACATGTTTCCCTCCTCAGTAAGAATGTCGACTGTAGTGCCTGAAACTAACTCAGAAATTCTGAGTTGTGTGTGCACATGAGCATGTAACACACAATAGTCACAGATATAGATGTCCTTGTTCTGCATTGCAGTCCAAGGAACTCACAGTTTCACATTCTCACTAGGCATAGAGGGAGCTTTTCATACCTGACCCTGACCAATGATTATAGCTCTTTCTTTTTTTGTTAATCCTCCTCACCAGAGGATATTTTTAGATAGAGTGGAAGAAAGGGAGGGAGGTTGGGGGGCGGGGGGGAGAAAGAGAAAGAGACACTGATGTAAGAGATTGGCTGCCTCCCACACAACCCCAGGGATCGAACCTGCAACCCAGGTACGCGCGCTTGACTGGGAATCAAACCTGAGGCTAACCCTTAACTTGCTAAGCCAAACCAGCCAGGGCTGATTACAGTTCTTTCAAAAGAACCTATAGCTCTGTCCGATGAGATCCCTTTCTTTTTGAGGCTCAAATGCTGTTTGAGTACTCACTGGACTCATTGTGTAGATTTGACTCTTCAGATTAATGAGCACCATTTTTCTTTTGAAAAATTTCAGCTCTAGGATGCATAATAATTTACAGATCTTCTAAAGAAGACAGCTGTAACCTGTATCTCATCCCTCAAGGGAGTATCCCTGTTTGTTAAGGGGCTGGAAAGACACCCTTACCTTTCGATTCATTCTGCATAGGAGCTGTTCATTGATTTTCTGTTCTCAGTGAGAATGGATGAGCTCATTGTACAAGATTGAAATTGAACCTACAACAACTTCTAAAATCTACCAATGCCAGAGACCTCACTGAAACTCTCCATTGTCAGCCTGAGAAATAGAAATTCTCCACACTTGCTAGGATGACTCCCATCTGTTTTCTTGGAGTCCTTAGGACAAGCTTCTGGCTGTACTTGTCATTTAATTCTTATTTTTCAGACACAACTGATTCTAAAACTTCCAAGCATTAAAGTATTTATTCTTAGAGTGCAATTAAGATTTACTTATAAGAAAATACATGCTCTTTTTGGTGACTTTTAATTTATACTCAAACAAGATATATATAATATTTATTTATTTATTTTTATCCTCACCTGAGGATATTTTTCCATTTATCTTCAGATAGAGTGGGAGGGAAAGAAAGGGAGAGAGAGAAACATCCTCACATGGACTGGTTGTCTCCCACACGAGCCCGACCAGGGCTGGGGATAAACTGCAACCGAGGTACGTGCCCTTGACTGGAATCGAACTTGAGACTCATTGGTCTGAGAGCTGATGCTCTAACCGCTGAGTCAAACTGGCCAGGACATGATTTACATAATTTTTAAATTGTAAGCTTGGTTTCAGTAACAGCATCAATTTTGCTCAAGACTCTTTAATCTATACCAGCAATTTCTCAACTGGTGTGCAAGTTGTATACAATACCTGACTATTTAGTCATGGGCCCTGACCTCTTTTCCCTTAGAATTAAAAAAAAAAAAAAAAAGACAAAAGCCAACACAACAATAGCCATCCAGTGTGAATGAATCAAAATTATACCCTTTTTTTTTTTTAGATCGGCAAAAAATATAATCTGTATTATTATTATTATTTTTTAGATAGAGTGGGAGAGGGAGAGAGGGAGGGAGGGAGGGAGAGGGAGAGAGAGAGAGAGAAAGAGAGAGAGAGAGAAAAACATCGACGTGAAAGGGAGGACACTTCGAGTGGCTGCCTCCCGCACGACCCAACCAGGGCCGGGGACAAACCGCAACTGAGGTACGTGCCCTTAGCGGGAACCGAACCCGGGCCTCTCCGGACCGCAGGTGGACGCTCTAACCACTGAGCAACCGGCCAGGGCTAATCTGTATTTTTGTGTGCTGCATAATTTTAGTAATTGGCTTATGTGTGCCATGTGCTAGACAATACTAAGCTAGGAACTTTGGAGCCAGAATCTTGGAGCATCTTAAAGCTCAAGCTTTTTTTAAAATCCTCACCTGAGGATGTGTTCTCTCCCACCCCACCCTCCGCCCTTTTAAAATATCATTGATGGAGAGAGAGAGAGAGAGAGAGAGAGAGAGAGAACCATCGCCTCCCAAACCAAACCGGGATCCAACCAGCAACACTTTGGTGCAAAGGAGACCTCCAGCCACTGAGCGCACGGGCCAGGGCTTAAAGTTCAAGCTTTTAAAAACATGTGAATCTGACGCCCCTTCCTTTCCAGCTCCGGCCTCGGACGCAGCAGCCGTCGCGATGTCGATGCCCAAGAAGAACCGGATCACCATTTATGAACTCCTTTTTAAGGAGGGGGGGATGGTGGCCAAGAGGGACGTGCACCCCCGAGCTGGCAGACGAGAGACGAGAACGTGCCTCATCTTCACGTCATGAAGGCCACGCAGTCTCTCAGATCCCGAGGCTACGTGAAGGAACAGTTTGCCTGGAGACACTTCTGGTACCTTACCAGCGAGGGCATCCAGTATGTCCGAGATGACCTCCGCCTGCCCCCTGGCATCTGCCTGCCACTTTGCGCCGCAGCCGGCCTGAGACTGGGGGCCGAGGCGGCGGCCTGCACGACTCTCACGAGGGGAAGCTGACAGGCGCCGACACCGGAGCGCTGTGCCCTGGCGCCGACAAGAAGGCCGAGGCGGGGGCTGGGTCAGCAACTGAATCCAGTGGAGAGGCGGCTTTGGTCGTGGACGTGGTCAACCACCTCAGGAACGTTGGAGGGACTATTTTGTGTTGAATAAACTTGTGTTCAGAAAATAAATAAATACAAACAGCTGAATCTGCTTGACACCTCCAGTTTACCAAAGGCCACTCCACATTACTTCACTCCCAACTTCCCAGGACATTCCTTGGCTAGCTTCTGAGAGTACTTGAGTTTGCCACTCTGGATTTTAATCCTGCTCCCTCCTTCTACAGTGGAGGAAAGCAAACCACAACGAAGCGCAACAACTTGCTCGGGAAGGCGCTTTAGAACGTAGAACACAACCTCCTCCTCGCTCACTACTTGACTCTCCCTTGTAGGCATTTGTTCTATGGCCAAAATAAACATTCCTTGCCAAAGAGAAGCGGAGAATCTGCGATTCCCCTAGTGCTTTACAACGCTAAGTTGTTTGGGGATGGAAACCGTTTCTCGTCTGTTACGTATGTTCATGTAGACAGAACGTTCACCCAAATTCAACCCAGAGCCTGACCCACCTCAAACCAACTACAGATAGCTGGGAACTCAAAGACACAGGCCACACCAGGAACCTCCTCTCCTAGCTTACGTTTCCACCCGAGTCCATAAAGGAAAGGGCCGGAAGTGGCGACTGCCGCAGAGCGGAGAGAACTACCCATATACCGCGGTCGCGCTGGCCGGAAGAGAGAGGTGCAGCTCTCAGAAGGTTCCCCTCCTCGTTCCCGCTTCCGCACGGTTGTGGTTGCAGACGTTGGGTCGGGTGTCCGAAAGCCTCCGCAGCGCTGGGCAGTTTGTGAAATGCCGGGCGGAGGCCGCTGCCCCGACTGCGGCTCCACTGAGCTGGTGGAGGACTCGCACTATTCGCAGAGCCAGCTGGTGTGCTCTGCCTGCGGCTGTGTGGTCACCGAGGGCGTTCTGACCACCACCTTCAGCGACGAGGGCAACCTCCGAGGTACCTGTGCCGTCCTTTCCTCGGCTGTGGGAACGGCCTGGGGCACTGGAGAGACTGGAGTCAGATTCCTCTTACCTCTTGGCCACTTCTTGTCACGCACACGTTTAAAGACGGGAGAAAACGACCTAACGTGAACGAGTGGGCTGTGAAAGGTCAGGGACCGCCATTTACCTGTGTTTTCCTAGCGTCTAGTACAATGTGTGCCATGTATAAACGTTCAATAAACGAAACGAAGAGAAACAAGGTTCCGCTCAATTCACCCAGTCTGGTCGAGGTGGAAGGATTGCGGGTCAACTCTTTACGAATACCGCGCATAAGATCACCCCGAAGTAGTTTTTAGCACTACTAAGTGGCAAAACATCCTGTTCTTCCTTTGCTTTCCAAGTTCCTGACCAGTGCAGCCCTCAAAATCCGCATCCAGGAAAATTACCTGGATTGGATGTATGTGCGGGTAAAAAATTGTACTGAAATTTCTGAAAATTTGAAACATTTGGAACTGCTTTAGGTAGTCCTAACCTTCCTCAGTCTCTGTGTATTTGATAGTGCTTGTGGACATAGGGAACCAGGAGGACCTTTAATGTGCACAGATGGGCACCTTCTGTGTGACAGGGAGCAGATGCCTAATGATTTGAATTCTGCTCCCTGGCTTTGTGTGGTGGGAGGGCAGGTGTCAGGTGAATAAAGGCTAAACAAGCTATTTGTCCTTTTTTTTTTCTTCACAGAAGTAACATATTCTCGAAGCACAGGAGAAAACGAACAAGTTAGTCGCAGTCAGCAACGAGGTGAGAATCAACCTTTTATGACATAGTGGCTTTAAAGAAAATTCTTTTGATGGTCCAGCGCATGTGCTTCCTTATCCTGATTTCAGCATCATTATGTAAGGTAGAGTAGAAGGGAATGGTGATTAGAAATAAAGGATGGGGATGGTTCTAGGAGAGGTGGCAAATCAGTGTAAGTTTGGGATTTGCTCAGGGATATGTTTGAGGTAGACTCAAGGAGTCCAGATCAAACTTTGGTTTGTCCTTGAATCAAAACGGCCTCCAAAAATTGGTGTTTTGGCCCGGCCAGTGTGGCTCAATGGATTGAGCGTTGTCCTTTGGACTGAGAGGTCTTGGTTCGATTCCCAGTGAGGGGGCGTGCAGGAGGCAGCTGATGGATGTTTCTATCTCTCCCTTCCTCTCTAAAATATAAAAACATATTCTTAAAAAATGATGAGCTGAAAAGTGACCTCTTTTCACAAATTTCTTTATGCCTTCAGAATGACTTCACCAGATGTCACTTCTGTCGTAGAAAGGTACTATATTATTTGTGCTTTTTTTTTTTTTTTTTTTAAGAAAGAGAGGGGAAGGGAGAGAGAGAGAGCAAGAGAGAGCGAGAGGGAGAGAGAAAGAGAGGAACATCATTGTGAGACAGAAACATGATCGAGTACCTCCGCTTGTGCCCTGACCAGGGCTAGGGATTGAACCTGCAACCTAGGTATGTGACCTGACTGGGAATCTAACTGGAGACCTTTTGGTGTACGGGATGAGACCTCAACCAACTGAGCCACATTGGCCAGGGCTGATTTGTGCATCTTGTATCAGAGGCAAGTTTAGCAGAAATTGCTAGGAGCTGCACAGTAGATCCTTTGGCCCATCTAACTCTTGCTGTGGGTTTTCCCAGGTCTCCGCCGAGTGAGAGACCTCTGTCGAGTTCTGCAGTTGCCATCAACGTTTGAGGACACAGCAGTTGCCTACTACCAACAGGCATACCGGCATTCTGGTATCCGTGCTGCCAGGCTGCAAAAGAAGGAGGTGTTGGTTGGGTGCTGTGTCTTAATCACCTGCCGGCAGCATAACTGGCCCCTAACCATGGGAACCATCTGCACCCTGTTGTATGCAGATTTGGATATGTTTTCTGGCACCTACATGCAGATAGTGAAGCTTCTAGGGCTGGATGTGCCATCTCTGTGCTTGACAGACCTGGTGAAGACCTACTGTAGCAGGTACCTGCCTAGTGGGAGATGCGGGGATGGGATGGGTCCTTTTACCCAAAAAGGGATGAACCCTTTTACCTTTGGCTGTCTCTTTTTGACCAAAGCCCATCTAAAAATAAGTGGGAGAAAAATCTATTCTCCCTCTCCTGTGCCTAGTACTGATAAGGTTAATCCCATTTTATATTTCTAGAATGCTATAATTTCAAATATTTTTGCAGTAACAGCAATCTAATGATGTAGGAAAGGAGGCATTAGCCTTGGCACAGGGCTCCTGAGTTGCACCACTCAAGTGTTTGGCTTGTGAGGCTGTATGCAACAGCTCTGCCTCAGAGGATCAACTGCGAGTGGAGCTGAAAGAATATTAGGAGACGTCAGAGCTGTAGTTAGAAGCTTAATTTTTTTTTTTTAAAGTAGCTGTGTTCTATTTTTCTGACAATTATAGTAGAAAGCAAAGGTTATCAGTGTCAAGTAGTCTTGAGTTTGAAGCTTGATTACTTCTTGGCTGGATGACTATGGGCAAGTTTTGCAACTATAAATGCACATAACAAGATGGCAAAAGGACATTTGTAAAGCACTCAGAATAATGGCTGACAGGGCTTGTTCAACAAAAGTTAACTCCGTTCTGCACCTCACAAGCAGAAGACTTACCAGGTCTTCTCTCAGTACCTGTATGAAACTTGCTGCCCAACAAGCTTGAGTGTTCCCAAGAGGCTAGAACAGCTTGCCCATCTTGAGCAGACTGCTCTTCCCCACTTTGGAAGAGCAGTCCCTCCTATAGGCATTGAGCCAAGACCCTCATTTTGGTTATTTCAGCTTCAAACTGTTCCAACCCTCCCCATCTGTGCCAGCCAAATACATGGAAGACAAAGAGAAGATGCTGTCACGAACACTGCAGTTGGTACAGCTGGCAGATGAGACGTGGCTGGTGACCGGGCGGCATCCCTTGCCTGTCATCACTGCTGCTGCTTTCCTCGCTTGGCAGTCTCTGCAGCCTTCAGCTCGTCTAACATGTTCCCTGGCCCGATTTTGTAAATTGGCAAATGTGGACCTGCCCTATCCTGCTTCCTCCCGCCTGCAGGAGCTGCTGGCTGTGCTGCTGCGGATGGCCGAGCAACTGGCCTGGTTGCAGGTTCTGAAACTTGACAAACGGTCTGTGGTGAAGCACATTGGTGACCTGCTCCAGCACCGCCACACTTTGATCCACAAAGCCTTTCGAGAAGGAACAGCAGAGGGGGAGGCCCAGGAGAAAGAGCTACAGGGGCAAGGACAGGGAAAAGAGGAAACGGGTAATAGTTCCTTAGATATGCCTGAGGGGAAGCGACCAGCTAGTCCTGCCCTTCTCCTCCCACCCTGCATGTTGAAGCCCCCAAAGCGGGTCTGCCCCACCCCTCCTACCTCCACGGTCACTGGAGATGAGAACATTTCTGATAGTGAAATAGAGCAGTATTTGCGTACCCCTCAGGAAGTGAGGGACTTTCAGAGAGCCCAAGCTGCCACAAGGAGTCCTAACCCTCCATGATGCACTTTGGGGGTTTGGGGAAGGGGGCACTTCATTCTGACAGCAGCTTGATAATAGGTCTGTCATGTCCAGAGAAATAAGTGTGTACAAGTCCTTTGGTATTGTCTCTGCAGTTAATTGGAGCCCAGGTCCTGGAGTAGAAATCAGAAGGAATGTAGGGACACCTGGGTTGGAGAGAGAGTCATGTCCTTTAGTGCCATAGAGCAGGTTGCATATGTTTACATTCTGTGGGATGGCTTTCCTCTTAGACTGTTGGGAGAGAGTCAGGCTCCCTCCTGCACCTGGTTTGAATTGGGTAAACTGCTCCTGCAGGGCTCATGGGGCCTCCCTACTAGAGTGGAGCAGTTGGCATTTCTAATCGTGTCAGCCCTCAGAGGATAGGAGCTGGGCAACTCTTGGTTCTGTGTCCTTTCATAGGTGTTGGTGGGTGTATGGTGTCATGAGATCCTCTACCTCATAACAAAAGGACTGTGGGTGGACTAAGGTTATAGCTCAAAGGGCTTTGCAAAATTTTAATATATTAAAACAAGAGGCATCTGCTAGAAAACATTCTATTGTATAAAACCCGAGCTTTTAAAAACATGTTTTCTTTGGCACTTCTTATCCCCTCCCTCCCCTTTCCCCAGCGTATTGCAAAAAGCTCTCCAGTGCTAAGGCATTGGCAGGGTATGTAAACAGCAGCCAGCATATGTGGAAGAATAATACAAAGCTTTTTTTTTTTTTTCCTGTCTAATATTGTCTGTGCAGCAAGCATAAATAACAGGATCCATCCCAAGGTATGTGGGTTTCCTTTCCTCCCCTATGCCTTCTTTCACCTTGGTGATTAGGCTGGGGTGACATGGAGACTGGGAGGGCACCTGGACCAGGCCCTCATGATGCTGTTCACAGGGCCCCAGGTTCCCTCCACTTTCATTAGGTCCTGTAGTAAAAGGGTGGTGGTTGCTTTTTAGTTTGAGGGTAAAATAGGAGTGCTGGTGTTTGAAAGTGGAGGTGCAGGTTCCAGGGGAGCTGTGGAGACCCTGACCACCGCCTGGAAGGGTTTGGCCTGGGCTTCTGTGCAGCAGGAAGCTGGTTTGGTGTTTTGGAGGTTTCTCCCTAATAGGGAGCTGGAAATCAAATGGTTGGAATGGTTCTTCCACGTGGCCTCATGGAGGCAGGGAAGTCCTCTTCCTTAGTCCTTTGGTGTTGGAAGGCTGAGACTGGGGACATAGGTCTTGTAATTGAACAGTAGGTGCTTCTCTAACACCACTTGCAGTCCTGTGGTGGAGCCCCTCTTCAGGGCCTTGTTCGTAGGACTAGGTTTAAGGCAAGACTAACTTCAGTCCCAAATCTAAGTACTAGTCTCTGCTTTCCTCAATTATCCCCAGGCAGAGTCGGCTTTGCCTTTAGGTGCCACCAACAGAACCCTGCTGTGTGGTGTGTACCATTCGTGGGAATGCTGTCGCTCCCTAATTGTGCCCTTGCCCCCCTGCTTTATCTCCCAAGCTGACTTTCACACTGCCCCACCTTCATCTCTTGCATAGTCAGAAAAGCAGCACCTTGTTACCTCCAAATGGTCCTGATCACCTGGCTCTGCTAGGCTGGCTCCCCACTTACTCAAAAACTGGTTGTGGGAAAGCCCCTAGAATCTAGACACAGGTGGCTGACTTCAGAGGAAGGTGGTGAGAGAACATTGTTCTCAAGCTCCCATCTGTGTTTTCCTGATCAGGCTGATGACCACCGGTGAGGCAGGGTGGACAAGATGTAGGGAGGCAGGCACCTTAGGAGGAGCCTGCCTGGGCTTGCTGTGCCTGTCCACTACTCAGCATTCCACAGACTGACAAGACCTTCCCCCTACCCTGGACGGCACTGAAAACCGCCAGAACTAGCCTGGGCTGGGACAGAAGTGTGTCCTGCCTGTGCTCTGGGATGTCTGTTGCTACCCCAGAGGGATGGCCTGTTAGCAGGGGCAGGCCTCTGCCTATCCTTTCCCCAGCCTCCAGGTCTAAAGCTGGTGAGCCCAGGTGCAGCCCTGGGCACTGCCAACTCAAACTTGATGTACCCATAGACGCCTTTGAGGGCCCCAGAGAAGCCAGGGTAACAAGCCTGTGTGGCCAGCCTGTCCTAAAGTGTCACCCGCCCCGCCCTAGACAGTGGTCTCGCTCTTCCAGAGGCCTGTCTTCATGCAGCCGCCACCGGCTGCCTCAGTGCCGGTCATGGTGATGTCGTCGTACTTGCCGCCCTTGGGGGCGCCGTTCAGACTGGCTGTGTTGAGCGGGTACGAGCGGCGCTTGCTCTCCTTCTCCAGCGCGCCCTTGAGGTTATCGCGGCTGGCGCTGCGGCGCTGGCCTGGCCTGCCCGCCTCCGGGAGCGGCGCGGCGCTGGTGTCGCTGCCCTCAGACGGCGTGAGCGTGGGCTCGCCCTCCAGCTGGAGGCAGGCGCCAGGGCTGTTGCGACTGCTGCTCGGGTAGCTGTCAGACGGGCTGTTGTGCAGGCTGCCGCTCTCGCTTGACAGTAGCTCGGGCGCCCCGGCCGCTGCGCCCCCGCGCAGCGCCTTGAGCCGGTTCTTGCTTCCCGCCTCCCCCGAGCGGTGCCCCTTGGCCCGACTCTTGTGCACTCGGCGCCCATGGGGCAGGTTGTTGGGGTGGCGGGGGGCGAGGCTCCCACGGGAGCTCACGGGCTCTGGCTCCCCTTCTCCATGGGCCGCCACCCCCACCTCGCACACCTGACTCTGGGCCAGCTGCAGGTTGGTGAGCTTGCAGGGGCCTGGGGGCGGTGCGTGGCCGCTGCTGCCACTCGGGGAAGACTTAAGCGAAGGGGGTCCCTCTCCGAACACTGGGGAACCGTCCTCTGGGGCTGCGGGCACAGCTTGGGGTGAGGCGCGAGAGGCCGAGGCAGGAGGGCAGCAAGCGCGCCAGGAGGCCCTAACGTCCCTGCGCCTGGCACAGTGGTGGGTGAAGACGAAGAGGCCCAGGGCCGAGGCCGCCACCCCGTACAGACAGCTGCACACCACCCGGGGCAGCCAGCGCTGGGACACTGCCAGAGCCCCACAGGCCCACATGGCCAGGTACAGGAAATGCGTGGTCACCAGTGCCCCCAGCTGGACTCCCGGAGAATAGAGGCCATCACCATCCTCTGGGGGTCCAGGTGTCGCCACCCCTGCGCTCCCAGTGGCCAGAAGGGAACCCGAGTCACTCAGGAGGGGGCCGCTGCTCCTGAGCCTGCTGGAACCCCTCAGCTCCTCCCCTTGGTCCAGGGAGGCCCTGCTCGTGACTCCCTTTGAGCTCTGTGCCAGAGGACCCCTCAAACGCAGCCCTGCACACAGGAAATAGATCCAGGTGATCAGCAGAATCAAAGCCACCGGGATGTAGAAGGCTCCTAGGCTTGGACGCCACACCAGCCAGCAGCTGAGGGGAGACACAGGCAGTGGATGAGGGGGGGGGGGGGGACAAGTCTGAGGCAGGGCCCATAGTCTGGGTGGTTGGGGACACAGAACGCAGTGAGTTGATAGGCAGAGACTGGCTTAGTCAGCATGCACGGGCTTGGATGGGCGAGCCTAGCAGGGGCCGCAGCCAGTGGAGTAGAAGGCATCTGGTGCTGGGGTGGGTAGGTTTGGGGCAGGCAGGCAGCGTGCTCACTAGGGGCTGTGGTCCCGGTAGTTGTGGATGTTGACAGCAGCTGTGATGCCACAGATAATGAGTGGAATCCCTCCAGCGATCAAATAGAACCTGGAAAGGAATGTGTTTGGGAGTCAGAGAGAGGGGGAACAAGAGAGAGGAATCGGGTGCTCAGACCCTTGACTTGGGGTCTCTGTCCCATCTTCTTTTCCCTTTAAATTCTGTTAGAATTTTTTTGCCATGGATGCAAGGCCCCTACGGGGCCGGCTTGGAAGATCCCTAGGGGACTTAGCCAAAACTACTCTGAGGGACAGAGGCCAGAGTTCTCTCTCACCCTAAGTGTAGAAGTCAGGGATTTCCAGATTCCCTGCTGAGTGCCCTTCCCTGGCACTGTTGTAGTCACTTCCTTCCCTGGCCTTGTTATGCTTTAAAAGCCCTAAGGGTGCATCCATTCCATGACCTTCAGCAACCTGGCACCACCTAGGGCCTTGCCTCTTCTGTCTTTGGACAGCGGTCTCCCACCCTGCATCCACCCTGGGAGAATTGATTTTGGTGTCCTATGCCCCCCTCTGAACCATTCCCCACCGCAAAGCTGATATCTGGAAGCATGTACCGGAGCATGGGGCGGGGAGCAGGTGGGGCAGAGTCCCCTTCCTGTGGAGGGGGCGCCCTCCAGGTGAGCTCCTTGTGGAGGACGCGGGCCTTCACACCCATCCAGAGCAGAGTGGACAGTGAAGAGTAGTGCAGAGTGATGCCCACCTGCGGGATCAAGGTGCGGAAGCTGGGACTGGGGGACGCTGATCAAGGAGACTGGGCTGCTACACTGGGGCCGTGCCAGAACCCCAGCCCCACTGTGTGTTCCCACTCCTCTCATGTTCCCAGCCCCAAGCTCCACCCAGGTCCTCCTCCAGGTTCTGTCCCTGCTATTACCCTCTCTACTTCCACCCCCCATTTTCCCCCCAGTCTGGTGACTTTCCATGACCTTGTTATGGCTCGCTGGTTCCTCCCCAACCTCTCCTCCATTGTAGGCCCCCACTCTCCACTTTGAAGTCCCACCTCCTACTTTTTCTGCTGCTTACTACCCTCTTATCTCATCCTGCCCCGACACAGAATGTGTCCAGGAGCTGGACCTATTAGTGTGAGCCCCCTTTTCCTTCCCCTGCACCTCCCTACCTGCCTAGGCTGCCATCACTAATCTTGGGGCTCCCCAACCCCCACCCCAGCCCCTTCTCCTCTTACCGCCTGGCAGACCATCTGGTAGTTGGTGAGTGTGATGCCTCCTGCAAAGACGGCGGAGGTCATGGCCATGTGGAAGCACAGGTTCAGCAGCATGTGCCAGCCCTTCCGGGACACATGGATGGAGCTGCCCCAGAAACAGCAATTAATGGGCCACCCAGCCCAAGGTCAGGCCCATGGGGTCTCAAGGCCATTGGGAGGGCCGAAGAGGGGGTGGCAGATATCTGTGTGCATGCATGTATGTGACTGCGATAGAGGCCCCAGGAAAGGAAGACCTTAGCCCACAAGATGTGTTTTCCAACCTAGAACCTTCAAATAAAATGCTAGGCAAGAGCCTGGAACATTCATGTGGACCTACCTGGGAAAGAAACACTTGCTATACTTAGTGAGACCTCCCCACCTTCCCACCACTCCCTCCCTGCCTGCAAGAGCTCCCACCTGTGGTTGAGGATGTAGGTGATGATGGTGGAGAAGAGGCAGAGCAGCAGCAGGGCTGTGCAGGGGTACACCACCGGATGCAGCCCCGTCCCCGAGCCCCCCACCTCCCTGGGAAAGGCACTCAGCTCCTGGAGAGTAGGAAAGAGGAAGTGTGTACTAGGAAGCCAGGAATCGAGGCCGTCCCATGGAGTCCCGGCCAGTCCCCCAGGCCAGTTTTCCTCTTCCCAAGCCTGGGCAGCTTTGGTCCTCAGCTTGGGCCATCTGCATAGGCAAAGATGTAAGTGCCGGGACATCCACTCTTAGAAAGCTAGCCGATGTAGTGTTAATAATCGACTGCCTGTCTTTCTGAGGACTTTTCAGGTCCCCAGCCTGAAGATCAGAGATGCGGAAAGAGGGGGTGCTGTCTATAACACAGCTGCATGCCTGCTCAGGATCTGGGAAAGTGGGATGTGAAATGTGGTGAAGGAGGGGGAATGAGCTAGGGGTGAGTGAGGGCGGTCACCAGAAAGGAAAAATGTTCCCAGATTTTTTTTTCCACTTTAATAATCTGGATCTCAGGGGGTGCAGGCAGAGTCTCAGAAGACCAGGCTGGGTAGTTCCAGACCCCTCTCTCATTCTGGGAGTGGAAGCAGGACCTCCCTTTCTGCCGAAAGATGAAATGCGGGAGAGACCGGAGGGACAGTTCCCTGTCCTGCTAGTTTTGAGGCCAGACAAGGCTGCTGTCCTTTATTTCCATGTGGCCTGGGGTGAACAGAGAACCCCACCTCCACCTCACATACCTCTCTGGTTCCCTGGCCCTCTCACCGTCCCATCCTAACTACTCACCATGAGCACGGCCACATTGCCCAAGTGCTGGCAGTGCAGGGAGCTGACGTTGGGCTGGCTGGAGCGCAGCTGGCAGCCTTCGGAGCTCCAGCCCCCAGCCCCGCTGGGCCCCTCCTGGCTCCACCAAGCTGCCACGGGTTCGGCCCCCTCAGCCCAGTGCCGCAGGGAAATTGCCACTGGCTCCGTCAGGTTTCCCACACCACAGCCACCTACAGGAGGGAGGATGTCCACACAGGCACAGACAAGGCGGCAGGGGGCTGGCGGGTGGAACTAAGCAGTGGCCAAGCAGGCAAGGAATACCCTTGGGCTGGGCTTGGTGGAAAAAATGGGCCTGCCTCCAGGTCTTCAGTCTGACTGGGGAGACACCAGGATGTATCAAAGCGAAAGCACTGGGCCCTGGCTGGTGTGGCTCAGTTGGGTGGAGCATCATCTATACTCCAAAAGGTGGTGGGTTTGAGGTCCTGTCAGAGCGCATACCCGGGCTGTCCGTTCATCGCCTGCCAGGGCATGGTCTGGAGGCAACGATCGATGTTTCTCACATAGATGGTTCGCTTTCTCTCTCTCCTTTCCTCTCTCTAAGACCAATTAAAACAAAACAATTCCTTGGGTTAGGATTGAAAATAAATAAATAAATAATAAATAAAACTCAGGGAGGTGGCCCACTCTAAGTGCCAAAAAGTGGTGGTGACATGCCCACCACCAAAGAGAGGACTGTAGGGCTGGGTCAGGGCAAGAAGGTAGAAGGTAATGCTGAGGGGGAGAGACCAGGTGAAGAGAGGACTCAGGACGGCCGCCCTGTGCGGGAGAGTTGGCACCAGGTGAGGAAGGGGGGACAGAGGGAGGTCGGGGTGGGTCAAGGGTTTGTACTTCTAGCCCTTCTGAAATTTGAAAAATCTGGGATACAAAATCCAGTGTCTTCCTGAACCCTTTCTCCACCAGCCCCTTTCATCACGGGATAGCTGTGTCCCCCCTCCTCCTCGGAAATGGGGAGGGGTCACCATTCTTCGCCACCTCCGCCAGGATGTTTGGCAGCACTGGTGGGTGAGGCAAGGGCAGGATGAAGGGGTGCAGGGAGACACTTGGGAGGGATCCCACGCGGTACCTGGCTTCAGTGCCTTACTTGTTCCTGAAAAGATGACTGGGGTGGCCACGCCACGCCTCTTGCCAGGCCCCCCGGCTCCAGGGCGGGAGGTGTTGCCATGGCTGCGGAAGAGGCGGCCATTTCGGAAGATGAGCAGTTGCAGGGTGCAGTCTGGAGGGACTGGGGGAGCCAAGGCAGCCGGAAGGGATGAGAACAGACTGGGCGGCAGCTGGATGGAGGCCAGGGCTACGCTGTTCTGGGGGGGACACAGGAGTTCCTCAGAGACCCCCAGATCCCTTGGGACTCTGATATCTTCCAACCCCTCCTCCTGCCTCCCCGACCCCCTTTTCTGGGTCCTGCCTCCTCTCACATCATCCACCCCCACAGGCACCTGCATCCTGGCACCACCCCTCTTAGCATCCTCCCTGCCCCAGTGCCCACCTTGATGTGGAAGGAGGACAGAGAAATGTTGGGCCTCCCGGTGGTACAGCGGAAGCGGAGCTGCTGATCAGCCAGGGGCTCCAGCTCAGGAAGGGGGTTCTGGCCAAGGCCCGCGGGCCGGGCTCCAGGCCCACCTGCCTCCCTCCTCTGGAAGGCTGTGCAGGTCAGGCCCACATAGCTGTGCGGCTTGATGAGGTAGGCCTCCAGTGCCACGTTCCTTGAGTTCTAGGGACAGGGGACTTGTCACCAGACCCTTTGAGACATGGCGGCCCTGTTTGGCCTTCTCTTGCCTGAGACTGTACGGTCCCTCTCTGCAGATCTGCTCAGGCTGTGTCCCTCCACCCTTCACTCCTCACTGTCTTCTCCAGGCCTGGCCAGTCTTATCTCTGCCAGGGACTCTCCCTAGCCCCTGGCCAGGGCGCCTTCTTCCCCCTAAGGCCCTTCCTTCCACTCATCCACACCCACCTTGTATCTCAACACCAACTAGTTCTGCTTCCCCAACTAAGCTGCAGAGCATGATCCATGTCTAAGCTCTTGTATCTCCAAAGGGACCAGCACATAGAAGGTGCTCTGCCATGATTGTTAATTGGTTCATGACCCACCATTGGAAATGTCACCCTCATCTCAGGGAACAGAAGTCTGCATCACAGTGCTATCCCCCTACAACTTGGCTCTCCACCATGACATTGTGCATAACTTCCCCAGGGTCACTGGCTTCCATTTCCTGCACTGCCCCTGAGCACTCAGAATCTGATGCCACATGATTGGGAATCTGGTCAAGGCAGGTGTTCATGGCAGGTGCACAGTTGGAGGGCTTGCTGCCTGAGAGAGAAGCGTTTCCCTCCTGGATGACTCTAAATTCCCTCCCAGTGCCAGGCCCCCAGGAGCTCCCTCCCAGCTGACCCACATTACCACAGAGATGTGCTGGGTGTGGGGGCTCAAGGCGGCCCCCCCAATGCGCTCTAGAGCACCCACGATGCCACTGCAGGCCTTGTCCTCACGCTGGGCCAGCCAAAGCAGGTGCTCATCTACCAGCATCAGGTTGCTGGCCATGTCCACCATCACCTCCACCAGCTGGGGAGTTATGGAGACATGAGCGGGACTGGGTGTGAGAAGCTTGAGCAAATGGGGAGCAGGAGGTTTCCAGGGGCCCCAGAGGCCTGGTTGAATCTCACCTCTTTAATCTGGTCGACATAACCCAAAAATTTCTGGATCATCTGAGCCACATAGACTACGTCCATCATGTCTGAGAAGCTAGCAGCCTCGGCTGTGTACACGCGCAGCTGGTGGGCCAGGGTCAGTGCATTGGAGGCATTGATGGGCATCTGGGAGTGTTAGGAAAGATAAGGGACAGTTCAATCTTTCTCCTTCCCCAGAACTGCCCTTAGGGGCCCCCTCCTCTGTGCCAATGCTTAGGGTGCAGTGCCTGGGGAGAGGGTTCTAGCCCACCGACTGGGTCTAATCAAGGTAGGAGGCACGCATAGGAGGGAGCGCGCCTGGACTCAAGGGCAACCCACTTCTAGCGCCACTGGCCCAGGGAAAACGGATGACTCATGCTGTCCTTGGTTTCCCCCTAAGGCTGCCCTTGCTGTGTTGGGGGATAAAGATGCTTGGGTGGCTTGTGCTTCCCGAGTGTGGCCTTGGGGGTCTGAATCCTCTGGAAGAAGGAAAGCTGGGGAAGAGCAAGAGTTCCTCGGGGTGCACACCCAAGGAGCAGAGGAGCAGTTGTGAGGCTTCTCCCCTCCCCAGTCCCTGGAACCAGAGCTGAGGGGTGCCCCCCACCCTCCGTCCTGCCTCACCAGCACGAAGGTGTAGAGCACCCGGGTAATGTCGTTGGTGTACAGACAGTGGGAGTAGTCCCCTGGCTCCCAGCGGCCAGCTCGGTCACACCGGCGGGAGGCCCGAGTGCCAGGGGCACCCCCGCTCAGGGGCACCGAGGTGAAGGGATACTGCAGGCAGGACTGGTAGGCTGTGATGCCAGCCAGAGTTCGAGGCCACCTGAGGGCAGAGGCAGGAGTTGCCAATGACCCAGGCCCCTCAAGGCAAGGGCCCCTCCCCTGCCCTTAGAACTGTGGTGCCAGACCCCTTGAGGGAAGGAGCCAGAAGAGTGGTTTGGGGCTGGCCCCAAGTTCCACCTTCTTTCTAACTGTATTTGTACTGCTAGTGCTGTGGTTGGTGTAATGGGGGCTGGACTCCAAGTCCCAAGTTCAAGTCACTCATCCTTTCTGGGCCTCAATATTCTCAGCTGTACAATGGGGAGAATCATGCCTCCTTCCTAACTGAGAGGGTCCTTGGGACAGTAAATGTGATATTCAAGCCTGGCTAGTGTGGCTCAGTGAACTGAGTATCGTCCCCTGGACTGAGAGGTCCCAATTCGATTCCCAGTCAGGGCACGTGCCCAGGTTTGGGGCTCAATCCCCAGTAGGGGGCGTGCAGGAGGCAGCTGATCTATGTTTCTCTCTCACATTGATGTTTCTTTTTCTCCCTTCCTCTCCCACTAGAAAAATCAATAAAAACATATTTTAAAAAATGTGGTATTCAAGTGGGAGAGCTTTGTAAACTATTAATGTACCTTTCTGTTCTGCACCACACATTTTAGATGGTGATTATAACCAAAAAGATGAGGTCCCTATACAACAGCAAGACTTGGAGCTGAATGACTAAAGGACGTGCTTTCTCCATCGTAGAGTGGATGGGAGACCCTGGTCACTTGTGTCTCAGATGCAGGAGTTGGGGCTGGGGCGGGATGGTGTTTGGGTTTTGGGGCAGCAGAGCACACCGAACCTGAAGTCCCCTCGGTTGTTGGCGACACGCTCAGCTGGGCAGTAGGAGGCGGAGGTCTCCAGCACCACAATCTCGACCTTCTTGCTGGCGTTGCCCTGGATCGTGGACACGGAGCACTCCCATTCGCCTGAGGCCCCCACACCGATGTGAGACAGGGTCAGCTCACTGCAGGCAGGTGGCAGGGCTGGCTTAGTGAGGCACTGGGGGGCCATGCCACCTCAAGCACCCCTGGCCTGGCCACCCACAGGAACCCTGTCCCAGGGCGTGTAGGATGAGCTCGGTTCTTTATTCTTTTAGCAAGTAAGGGCTACAAGCACAGACTCCTTTCATTTGGATTGGCTTTGTGTTAATGTTTCTCTGAGCTTCACTTTACCCATTTCTGTCATGGAGACAATACCCCTCTTACAAATCTGTTGGAGAGACTAAGTCTGATAACAGGTGAGAGCCACTATAGTGTACACCGCAAAAGCTCTAAAGAAATGTCAGATATAATCGTTTTTTTCTATCAAGCATTTAACTTCTATCCCTTATTTAGACCATTGACTTAGTCCTGGATTTCCATGAACACACACACACACACACTCTCTTACACAGATGGAGTACTCCCAGGAGTGTGTCTGGGCACAGCTCCTTTGCGGGTGGGAATGGGTGCTGTGACCACCCCCTCCCTGGCTGGGAAGGGGCGGTGGGCCTGTACCTCGTGATGAAGGTGCAGTCGTGGATGAGGCTCTCGGCCAGGAGGATGCCCGCCTGCTCATCGCCCTCCACGGGGGCCCGGTTGTGGTACCAACGGATGCGGGTGTCATTGCCCAGGTAGCTGGCGGAGCACTGGAAGGGCAGGCGGTCACCCTGGAACACCACTTGGCGTAGGGATGGGATGAGGTGGTGCGTGTGTAGCTCCAGGGTCCCCTCTGTGGGAGGAGACATGAGCAGTGGGGCCTGAGTGTGCAGGTGTGAGCACCCGCACCAGTGTGGGAGAGTCCAGGAGGGGCGGCACCAGGTCTTCTCTGGGGCCTCGGGAAGGAAAAGGGGGCAGGAGAAAATCTCCAGAGATAGGAGCACAGGAGAGGAGCAGGAGGGTTTAGGACAGACAAGTAAAAGTACTCCTTTTGCCCTGGCCGTTTGGCTCAGAGGTTAGAGCGTTGGCGCTAGGACCAAGGAGTCTCGGGTTCGATTCCGGTAAAGGGCACGTGCCTTGGCCGTGGTTTGTCCCCAGCCCTGATTGGGGTTGTGCGGGAGGCAACCAGTCTATGAGTCTCTCTCTCACTCTCTCTCCCTCCCTTCCACTCTATATGATGATAAATGGGAAAAATACCCTCGGGTGAGGATTACAAAAAAAGTGCTCCTTTCCGTAGCACACTTGTCACCCCAGATGGAAACGTAAAGCGGCAGGCCCAAAGGACGTTTAGAAAAGCTGATGGAAGACGACCCCGGTGGAAGGTGAGGGAAAGGATACTCCAGAGAACATGCCCACCAGCCAGGCCCTTCAGGAGGGAGTCTGGGGCCCGAGGGGCAGGCAGCGTCCCTGGCAGGTGTGCAGGGTGGGGATTTGCTCACCGCAGCGCAGCTGGGACTCCTGGAGGCCGCCCAGGGCCTGGGCATGAAGGGCAATGGGGTAGGCACAGAGTGTGCGCTCGGACAGCTGCAAGGAGTGATTCTGGGCCCAGGAAGGCAGCCAGCGCAGGCGACAGTCACAAGTCAAGAACTCAGTGCCGAAGTCCCTGCGGAGTGGGTAGAGGGGCCGTGGAGTAGAGCAGAGGAGTGTGGGCTCATGGAGTGGGGATGGGGCCCCTGGAAAGTACTGAGGCTGGAGAGGGCAAACTTGGGTATGTGTGCACCAGCCCAGCATTCATGGGAAGGCACATATGGTGGAGTTCCAGCCACTGTCTCTCCTGCCAACTCATGAGGCTGGCCACTGTGGTCAGGTGCCCAGGTGTCTCCCTCCTGGGCAGAGAACAAAGGTGGGATTGGGTCTGAGTCCTTGGGCTGGGAAGAGATACTTACACAAGCTTAAGGGCTGGCAGCTCATCAAAGACCCCAGGTTGCAGACTGGAGAAGATGTTTCCAGATATGTTTCTGCAGGGGGCAGGGGGAGTGAGCTGGATCTCAGGGTCTCCTGGTGCCAGAGGGAGGGTGGGTGGGGAAGTGAAGAGCATGCAGGGACCTGTAAGGTGTGGGGCTGGCTTCCTTCTCCCAAACCATCCTTTAGGGTGAGCCTTGCCTCTCCCCTCTCCCCTCACTCACAGTCGGAGAAGCCTGGGGAGGCCTTGAAAGGTCTCAGAGGTGAGACAGCCAATCCGGTTGTTGGAGAGGTCTCTAGAAAGATACACACAAAGCTCAGCAAGCCGGCCATGTGGTAGCACACAGATTTGCTTGTGAGGGACACACAGTGTGGCTTGTGTGGGGAGCAGAGTGAAAAAGGAGATGAGGTTGAGGTTTGAAATGTCTGCCCCCAGCCAAGATGCTGTGTGGGGGAGGGGGCAGCCATGGGTGGGTGAGAAGAAGGGACAATGGGGGTGAGCAGGAGGGATCCATGAGACCTTCTTCAGGGATAAGGGGAATGCTGGGAGGTTTGGGGGGCAGGACATGCCACTTACAAGCGCTTCAGCTCCCCCAGGCCAAGGAAGGCCCCGGGCTGCACTGTGCTGATGACGTTATTCCTCAGGTCCCTGTGGGAGGAAAGGGGGGAGGCCCTCACACCTCTCCTGCCCTGAGGGCCCGCAGGGGGCCTGGCAGTCCCACCGTCACCAAAAGTGTCGGCATTCAGTGTCTTTCTATTTTTTAAAAAAATATTTTTATTGACTTTTAGAGAGAGGAAGGGAGATGGAGAGAGAAAAACATCAATGTGAGGGCTTAACATCTATCCCATCTGCTGCCTCCTGCACGCCCCTTACTGGGGGCGGGACTGAGCTGGCAACAGGGCCTGTGCCCTGACTGGGATCCAACCAGAACCTTTCAGTGCCTGGGACAACTCCCAGCCCGCAGAGCCACTCCGCCTGGTTCTGCTCCCTCCTGAGTCCGGCTCTCCGGACTCAGGTTGGATGAAGGACCCTGCCCTTCAGCCAGGCCTCTGCAGCCTCCCTGCCTGACATGAGGGGTACTTGGTCAGGAAGATGTCAGCAAGGATGCAGGTGCCAAGAGAGGCGATGGGAGGGCCTCAGATGAGGAAGCAGGAAGCGGACGTGTGAGAAGCGGGGAGGACGGACTCGGGCCTTGGTTCCGCCTCTGAGCTGCCTTGGTACCTGAGGTGGTCACGAGAATCATTTCAAACCGGGTGCTAGTCTTTTGAAAATTTCTCTATGAAGGTAAAGTCCTCTTCAGTTTGGCAGTTGGGAAGTATTTTTATGGCTATCCTGCGAATCTCTCCATTTGAGAAATGCTGAAATAGGTCAGGCAGCGGGTTGAGGACCACATGGATGCTGACCTGGTCTCCGGGCCCAAGGCAGGGCTATAAATCACCTGCCCCGGCCCCTCAGGGCAAGGTTCGCTCACAGTCCTGTGCCTGCCTCCCCCCAGAGAGAAGGTGTCAAGGGAAGTGCCACTCAGGGCTGATCCAGCAAGTCACAGACAGGACAGAAGACAGGGGAGCCCCTGCCACTCCCCAGCCCAGACTGAGGCAGGAGCCCTCGGCTCTCCCTGCCAAAGCCCCTGGGACATCTCTGGATTATGGGCAGGAGGGGGTTAACCGAGTCAGCTCCCTGCTGGGAGGAGAGGAAATGGGTGTCCAGGATGGGGAGGCGCCATCCCACCAGGGGGCCTGTTTTCCTACTGACAGTCCCAGTTGGGGACATAAACACTGAGAGAGAGAGAGAAAGAGAGAGAGGGAGAGAGAGAGAGAGAGAGAGATGAAACACTCTGCTCAGCTCTGCCTATGGCCAGGGGTCCTCATATCTCAGCTCCCTCTCATATCCAGGACTCAGCTGAGCCCCCTTGGGAAAAAAGGGAAAGCCACCAGAAGGGGCCACCTCCCGAGAGGGATGAGGGATGGTTTCCATACCGAGGCATGCTGGGAGGTGCCCCAGTGTCGGGCACACGAAGACCCTAGAATGCTCCTGCAGAGTGGAGACTGGAGAGGACAGGATAAGTGCCCCGCCCGCCCAGGGTTGTCCTTCCCGCCGGTCACCCCCCTTTTGCTGCTCAGACCCCCGCCTTCATGGCCCTTCGATGCTGTTGCAGCATGTGCCCCCTGGCCCCTGTTGGGGCCTGGCCATTCTCAGGGCTCTGTATCCCACCCCCATGCGGGGGACGGGCAAAGGGAAACACATTCCTCATTGTGTCACTTCCCTTCATGGGCTGCCAAGGGGCTGAGGCTGCAGCCCCCCGCCCCTTCCCTCTAGCTCACTTGTGTTTATTCTCATTTCCTCCCCAGCGCTCCTCGAGAACCCCCACCCAGCCTGCCCCACTGATGCTCTGCAGATGGGAGCAAGGCGGCCGCTGGTCCCAGCGCTCTCCAGCCCTGGGCTTCCTGCAGCCCAGCCATGCCGGGCCTACCGAAGCGGAGCTTCCACCAAGTGTTGGCACTCCTTCCCCTCCTTCCCCGTGCCTCGCACCCACGGACGGCTTCCTGGGTGACGAAGGCAGCCCCTCAAGTGCCCTTGGGAGTTAGCCTGCTCGCCCAGACCAGCCAGCCCTGGGTCCTCTCCTGAAGGGCACAGGTCAGGGTCTGCTCACTGGGCTGAGCTCCAATAGCCCAGTGGGGTTGGGCCCACATGCATCAGCTGACTCCTGGTCCCTGGTCCCCAGCAGCTCTGGGGCAGTGCCCTCCCTAGCACCAGGAGGGTATGCTAATGAAAGAAGTTGGGTATTTTTTCAGACCTATGAGGCCCTTATAAGTTGGTGATTCAGCACCTTTCTTGCTTAGCACATCCTTTTGAAAATGTGACGGTGCTATGTACTCCCACCCCAGAACAATGCATACACCCTACATTGTGCACATGATTTCAGGGGCTTGTGGAACCCAAGTTATGAGCCCCGGCTCTGGATTGTCTAATCTGATCTTTTCATTTCTTAGATGAGGTCATAAGGACACACAGATGTCTCTGTGATGTGGGCTCTCCTGTCCCTCTCTGCTTCCACAGAGCTGTGGTCTTGGATCCTGGAGAAGGTGCAGCGTAAGGCTGGAACCTCCCCTCCCCCATACCCCTTGCCTAACCCAGACCAGGCTCCCTTGACTCAACACACCTCTCTCCCTGGATCTATGTCAGTGTGGAGGAGGACTCCCTCCCCATGGCAGAAGTTGGGGTAGGGGGGTGATTTCTGGGAGCAAATCATATCCTATACCCTTCTTGGGAAAACAAAAGCTCAGGAAGCTGAGTGTGTAAGAGTGCATGTATGAGCACAAGAACAAAACAGCAGACTGATAATTGGACTTAATAAAAAAATTAAACTTTTGCTTTTTAAAGGAAGGACACCATTAACAAAGTGACAGATGACCCATGGAATGAGAGAAAATAGTTCCATAAATCATATGCCTGATAAGGGACGTCTATCCAGAATTTATAAAGAACTCTTATAGTTCAGTAATAAAAAGACAAATTACCCAGCTGAAAAAAATGGACAAAAGATTTGAAAAGATAAATCTTCAAAGAGGATATACAAATGACCAATTAATGCCTGAAAAGGTGCTCAACACCATTAGTCACTAGGGAAATGCAAATCAAAACCACAATGAGATACCACTTCACATCCAAGAAAAAAGACAACAGCAAGAGGTGATGAAGATGTAGAGAGATTTGCAGCCCTTGCACATTACTGGTAGGAGTGTAAAATGGTGCAGCCACTTTGGAGAACTCTATGGCAGCTAGCATTACCATGTGACCCAGCAGCTCCACTCCTGGGTAGATATTCCAGAGAGGTGAACATACATCCACGCACAAAAACCTGTACTTGAATGTTCATAGTAGCATTATTCACAATAAGCCGAAACGTGGAAAAACCTCAAATGCCCATCAACGGACAAATGAATAAACAAAAATATGCTATAGACACACAGGAATACTATTCGGCCATAAAAAGGAATGAAGTGCTGACACATGCTATCACATGAATGAACCTTGAAAACATTATGCTAAGTGAAAGAATCCAGTTACAAAAGATCACATAATCCCATTTATACGAAATGTCCAGAATAGGCAAATTTACAGAGACAGAAAGTAGATTAGTGGTTGCTTAGGGCTGGGAAATAGGGAGTGACTGCTAATGATTCAAGGTTTGAGGATGATGAAAATGTTCTAAAATTAGATTATGATGATGATTGCACAACTGTGTAAATACACTAAAAACCATTGGATTGCATACTTCAAATGGGCGAACTTCATGGTATGTAAATTATATCTCATAAAGCTGTCAGAAGAGCGAGTGTGTGAGTCTGTAAAACAGTGTACGTGTGCACGTGTGTGTGTGTGTGCACGCGCGCGCGCGCGCGCGCACCACGTTTGGACAGGGTGGGGCAGCCCAAAGTTGGCTCCCTCTGGCCCCTGCAGACCTCCCTGCGTGTGGGTTTGAAAACCTAATTATTGGTTCGGAGGCCGCAGAGCAGCTTTTCCTGGGCCCTCCAGGACTTCCAGGGTTCATTAGAAAGCGGGACGAGGCTGAGAAAGGGGCTAAAACTCCCTCGTAGCTATAGAGGTTGTGTGGAAAGAGGAGAGGGAGAGGTTCTGGTGGCGGGAGGAAATCCAACATGGTCCTAGCCTCCCTCCCACCCACCCTCAGCCTAGGGCCCCTTATCTCTGATATCATCCAACAGGTATTTATTGAGCACGTACCCTGTGCCAGGCATTGGAGCTACAACAGCAAGCTAGAGGGCTGTCCCCCAACCCATCAGCCTCCCTTCCCGGCCTTCAGCTGCGCCAGAGCCTAGGGCAGCCTCTCCGCAGCCCCAGTGTCGGGGGGATGGGGAGGGGAGGAGGGACCGAGGCCCCTTGGCCCCGCCTACAGATTAATGGAAACCACCTGGCGGGTGAGCGGCACTCCACCCCCAGACCCCACTTGCCACCATTCCCATGACCATCTGCTTCTAATGAGTACCCCATCCCCCTGCATACCAGCCCCCCGGGCTTATTAATCTCATTAGGCAATGACAAATCATCCTGGGGCTGAGCAGGCTCCCCGCCCCGGGCCCTTTCCTCTGGGCGCTCAGCCTCTGGGGGCGGTGTCCTCTCGCTCACTCGCTCACTCGCTCGCAGCCCAGGCCCGCTCCCCGGCCTCTTCCGGGGGCTGTCTGCCCTGTGGCCCACTTGGTCCGGGGCTCTCACTGTGGTTGGGGCACCCGCAGAGCCCTGGGAAGACTTCTGGTGGCCTGCTCCCTGTTGAATGCGCGTGGTGGGGGATCTGGGCGAGATGCGAGGCAGCAGAGGAATGAGCCAGTCCCGAGGGCTTTCAGCACCCCCATTTCGGCTACATGACTGCCCGCTCAAGGCTGGGGAGCTCTGGACAAATCCTACGCAGTGAAGGGGCCTATAACATCTTGCAACTTGGAACTCTTCAGTGGAGAAGGGAACTGGCTTTTACTGACTGAAAGCCCATGCTCTGGGGGGAGGGGGCTCTTTTCCTAGAGGAACTCATCCATTCCCATGACAACCTGTCAGGAACACACATTGCCCCATTTTCCAGGTGAGAAACCTGAGGCTTGGACAGGCACCCAGAAGGTAAACGGCAGAGTCAGGATTCAATCCCGGGTCTATTTTTACTGCAGAGTAAAACTCTGCCCTTTCATTGCCTGCCCACCCCCATCCCAGAATTCCTTCCTCTGGCCAACAAACAGGCTTGTCTATGCTGAGGGGTGGTGGAATACAGAGAAGGGGGCCTCACCCATGTCTGGGCCCTTCTGTACACTTCTTAGGCTGGCCATGAACTGCCTCTGCTGCACCGTTTCAGGTTTTCTTGTCTAACCTGCCTGGCTGATAAAGGTGTGTCCCCTCCCCAGCCTCAGGGTGCTGCGTTGCAAAACAGGGACCATGCAGACCTATCCCGCCCCCTCCCCTACACTGGACCCATTCTCAGAGGCCAGAGCGGGGCTCAGCACAGGGAGGCAATGCCAGCATTTTCTAGAGTAGCCCTGACCTACCACTTCAGTTATTAGGCTAGGCCCCAACCCTCCCCTGGGACTTGCTGCTATGGACTGTGGATGTGAAGCTGCCATGGGCTCTGCTGCCCAAGCTGAGATGTCTCAGCCTGACAGGACAGAGAAATCAGTGTTTCCTGGCACCAACTACACGCCAGGCCACGGCGTCTCATGTGTGATGAATAGGCCCACAGTCTACGGGTCATCTGGTCCACTGGTTCCCAACCCTAGATGAGCATGAGAATCGCCTGCATACCTTGTAAAAAATTCCCAGGCCCCTTCCAACCTGATGAATTAGCATCTTCAGAAGCAAAGGGGCCCAGGCTCTCTCCCACCTCTGGGATAGTGGTTGCGATGATTATAGTGTTGTATGTCCACTAGGCCAGGCTGTAGCACCCAGTAACTTAAGGAAATACTAATCTAGGTGATGTGTAGGCATTTTGTAGATGTGATTAACATCTAAGTCAGTTGACTTTAAATAAAGGAAATTACCTTTGATAATATGGATGGGACTCGTCCAATCAGTTGAAGGCCTTAAATAGCAAAAGCTGAGGTTCCCGGAGAAGAAATTCTGTCTCAAGATTTATAGCATCAATTCCTGCCAGACTTTCTAGCCTGTGAGTCTGTCCTACAGATTTTGGATTTGCCAGCCCCCATATCACATGAGCTATTTACTTAAAATAAATGTCTTTATAAAGAAATGAAATAATTTCTTTATATGTTCTATAAAGACACACACACACACACCCAATTGATTCTATTTCTCTGGAGAATCCTGACTGATATAGGAGTGATCAATCAGGCCTGGAGACCCTGGGTGCTCCAGCCCCTGCACTGCCTTTCCATGGGCACCTGCTGAACACAGTGCCTACCTCTGCCCAGAGGCCTCTCCTCCTTTGGAATGACCAGTCGCATCACTTTGCTCTTTGATCTTTTCCTTGATATGCAGCACTTCACACACAGACACACACACACAGGATCATAGAATTTTAAATCCATAATGCACCTTACAAATCACCCTGTCCCCACCCCCCTTTTCACAGATGAAGAAACAGGCCCCAAGCCTGGCGCCCATCTCTGCATTTCTCTGCCTCATCTCTGACCACTTCCCAGTCACGGTGCCCTTCTGTTCCTCGGACTCACAAGGCATACTCTGGACCCAAGGGCCATGCCCACTGCTGCTCGCTCTGGCCTCCAGATTCTTCGTCTCTTGAGTCGCTGGCTGAGTCACTTTGTCAGGGAGGCCTTTCTCAACCTCACTACATAAAACAGCACCCCTCCACCCCCATTGCTTTCTATCCTCCTTACCCATCTTTGTTTTTCTTTGTAGCACTTACTGTCTCCTGACATATACATTTATTTGCTATTTTCTGGGTCCCATCAGGAGAGGGTAAATTCCATGAGGGCAGGCACTTGGTCTATTGTGTTCACTCCCAATGCCATAAAGGAGATTTGTAATATGCAAATGAATAATACAATATAATAAATAAAGGGGGCTTGCTCAATTTTTCTAGAATAAATGACTAGAATGATCCCTAACAAAGCAGGGGCTCAAACTCAGGACCTTGAATTCTCACTCAAGTGTTCTTCCTCATGCCCAGGACCCCTTCCACCTCACATGACTCGGGAGTTAGCCATTGTTCTTTGGCTAGTTTCCCACTTCTCTCTGCCTGCCTCCCATGCTTTGCATGCACTTGTGTGGTGACGAGCGTCACAGTGCTGGGAGAGGAGTCCGGTTCAGTATGTTGGCATAGGTGGGAAGAAAGGGACCATCTTTTCATCTTCATTAGAAGATCTACCCTCATGAGATTGAAGGATGAGAAAGGGGCAGAGCCAGTGGGTCTCTAACTGATAAAGCAGGAGGATCAGGATGGGAAGATGTCAGGGAGGCCATGAGAATCTCAGAGCGGTGCTTGCTCATGCTGAGCAGAGAGAACATCTCTGGGCGCTGGCTGGCCCTTGTGGGGCAAAACAAAGGACTGGAGAGGCAGCTGCGGTTTGTCTTCCTCCAAAAGATCCTGGAAGGAGAGTCTGGCCTCCTGCCAGTCAACTCTCCAAGACCATGCCTAGGAATCAGAACTCCTAGTGCTAACTGCTCTGGGAAGATAAAACCTGCCCTGCTTGTTGGTGCCCAGGGAGATGTTAAATAGCAGCGTGGTGGCAGCTCTTTCTCCTTGCCTGGACCACCCTGTCTGTGAGCTGCAGAGGGATGATCAGAGGGACCTGGTCACAGAGCTGTGTTGACACCGAGGTCAACATCCCAAGACCACCAGCAGGGAGGGAACAGAGATGGGAGACAGGCGGTAGGAGGAGGGGGAGATGGAAGCAGGGTCAGTCTCCAGGAGGGATGGGAGGCCCAGGTCTTCTATGGAGGAGACAGGGCCCAAAGCTGTGTTCCCAGCTGTGGGTTCTGGAGCATGCCAACTCAACAGGGCACTGAGAGAGGGGTTGGTTTGATCCCCTCATTTGGCAGGTTAAGTGACTTGCCCATGACCCAGTCAAGTCCCCAGCTCTGGGAACAAGTTTCTTTTGGGCTAGCGGGGCCCTCCCAAGTCCAAGGCCAGCCTGACTGGGTCTGCAGGGCAGCCAGAGGACGCTGCTGCTGCTGCTCTAAACCAGGGCAGAGGGGTGCGGGGTGCAGGGAGATTTGCCTGTGACCACCATCTCCACCTTCAGCCCAGGGCTCTAGCCTCTCAGGGTTTTGTGGTTTGTTTTCAGGGAAGGAGGAACAGGTCTCCTTCACACTAAATCCTCTCTCAGCCCTTGCTTTATGCTGGGCCCCCAGCTGGGAGGAGGAGAGGCTTCTGGCCAACTAAGGGGCTCAACCCTCATAGCTAATTGCTCATTAAAGAGCGTTAATGAGCTTCCTTTAGCCCCATCTCTGCCTAGACCAGTGAGGTTTCTCTAATTCTCTCTGCTGTCACTGGTGAAGGAGCTGGTCTCTCTCTCAGACCAACCCCTCTCTGCCCTCTACCTGGTAGTCCAGTCCTGGGCAGGGTTTCAGTGGGTTTGATTCTTGCCAGCAGGTTCTAGGTTGTGGGGTCCCTTAGCAACCAGTGCTCCTTATTCTTCCTGGACTGAGTTCTTGCCCATGACCACCATCCCCCACCTCTGCCCCACCTTGCCCCAGTACTTACAACTTCTCCAGCAGGGACAGTCCCAAGAAGGATCCATTCCGGAGCCCAGTGATCTTGTTGTTGCTCAAGAGCCTGAAGGAAGAGGGAGAACACAGATAGGAGAATGTGCTGTTACGGGCTGGAAGGTGTGGCTGGAGTAGGGAGCCAGCTTCACAACTATAGCCATGTCACACTCCATATAAATGGCGCCACCTAAAGTTGTGCAAGGCAGCACCTCCACTGTCAGCTCCAGGAGACTATAGGGAGAGCCAGCAAATGGTCCAGGCAGACTAGTCAACCCACTGGGCTCCACGGCCCCCCTTCGGCTGGGGTCTAACTTAGGGCCCCGTGTGCAGGTGGGCTGGGTAGGTGTGGGCTGCAGTGCTCATTTCCACCTTGGAACCCCAGGGTCCAGTCCACAGCGCCCCTTCCAGCCCTCCACAGCTCTGTCTAGCCCAAACCCTCAGCCCGATATCCTGAGGATAGTGGTGGGCGAATGGCCATGATTGGGTCAGGGTTCTGGCCCGTCGAACAGGAAGCCAGGCAGGTGTGGAGGCAGACGGGAGGAGCTGCCCCTCCTTGGGGTCTCCAACACTTTCTCTGTGAGCTGAGGATCTCACCAAAAGGGGACACTGTCCTCCCTGAAAGGGTCTCAACTTAGAGGGCCCGAGTGCCTTGCCCCTCTAAACCTGTCTGCAGCCTTAACAGAAAACTGAGAGAGCCCTGGGCTTCCCCCAGACCTCAGCCTTTCTGCCCACTCGGAGCTCTGTTTATTTATTCATTTGTATTTAAGGGAGGAGGAGAGGCCCCAAGCCAACTGTCTGAACCTACTCTGCCCACCCACTCAGCCTTTCTCTGCCAGGCTCCCTGCTGGGAGGAGGGAGTTCCAGACCAGCCAAAGGGCTCATCCCTTGAGTTAATTGCTTATTAAAATGCTTAAATGAACCCTGACTGGTTTGGCTCAGCGGTTAGAGCATTGGCCTGTGGACCGGCCAAGGGCATGTACCTGGGTTGCAGGTTCAATCCCTGAGCAGGAGGCAACCAATTGATGTGGCTCTCTCACATCAATGTTTCTCCCTCCCTTCCACTCTTTCTAAGAATCAATGAGGGGGGGGGGGGGCGGGAAAAACCCTGGCTGGTTTGGCTCAGGGGTTGGAGTGTTGGCCTGCGGACCAAAGAGTCTTGGGTTCGGTTCCCGCTAGGGGCATGTACCAAAAGTAAAAAATAAATAAACAAAAAATAAAAATCAACAGGGGGGAAAATATATATATATATATATATATATATATATATATATATATATATATATAATCTCCATCTGTGGGTAAGGATTAACAAAAAAAATGCTTTAATGAGCCTCTGCCCACACACTCTTCCCTGTCCTGGGCTGAGGCAAAGGGTTTCCCGTCTTTGCTCCCACTGGTGGACCTGGGAAAGCCAGAAGTACAGGCCTCGGGACTTCTCCTGAGTGGGCAGCCTCTGAGCTGGCGAGTAAGGGAGAGGGCAGGGGCTGGGACAAGGCACGAGAGAAACTGTCAAAGAGTCCTGCCCCATAGCTCACTGGGAGCGGGTGATGAATGTACCAACAGGCAGCGAGAGGCCCCTGGACATGTGACATTCCAGCTACTCCGTGTTCCAGAGGCTCCCGGAGAGCAGACAATGGCCAGCATGGAGGCAGCATGGAGGGTTCTGGGTCCATGGGAAGGGGCGGAGACCTCATCTCCTTCCTCTCTCCGCCTCTCTCCAAATAGAGCCTTCCTGACCTTCTAGGCCCCGCCTAACACCGGGTCCCTCCAACAGTGGCATTTCCCAGTGGGGTCTGAAGGGCGACTGTGTGGAGGAGTTCAGGGGGGAATGCTGGGTTTCCCAAGTGATTCACACACACACACACACACACACACACACACACACACACACATCATCTTGATAGTTCCATCACAGTGGTCACTATATGAGCAATTAGAACTTTCCTGAACCCCTTTATTCTCATTTTATAGATTAGGACAGATAGTTTTATTTCACATTACAATGGTGGTGGTAAATCGTAGATAGTCTTGTCAGTTCTTAGTGCCTCTAATGGTCTCATTCAGGCCCTAGTGGGGCTGGGGAGGTCCCCTCAGTGGTGACTGGCTCTTGATGGTGGGACTTTTTAAAAACAAATATGTTTTTATTGATTTTTCAGTGAAAGAGGCAGGGAGAGAGAGAGATAGAAACATCAATGTGAGAGAGAAACATCAATTGGCTGCCTCCTGCACAGCCCCCACTGGGGATCAAGCCCGCAACCTGGGCATATGCCCTGACCAGGAATCGAACCAGGATCTCTCAGTCCATGGGAGGATGCTTAATCTACTGAGCTACACCGGCTGGGCTCTGCAAAAAAATTTTTAAAAGATCATTGAATTGCCTAGCCAGTGTGACTCAGTGGTTGAGTGTTGACCCATGCACCAAGAGGTTGCCAGTTGTTCCAGGTCAGGGCACATGTTCAGGCTGTGGGCCGAACCCCAGTGGGGAGCATGCAGGAGGTGGCCAACTGATGTTCTCTCTCATCAGTGTTTCTATCTCTCTCCCTCTCCCTTCATCTGTCTAAATCAATAAGGAAAAATAAATAAATAAACATGATACATTAAAAAATAATAATTGAATTGAAAATATTGTATTTAAAAATTCTCCAACTCCCAAATCCCTGAGGTTAAAACCTGGGATCCTAATTTGATCATCTTTTTTATCCTCATTCGAGGACATTTTTGCATTTATCTTCAGATAGAGCAGGAGGGAGAAAGGGAGGGAGGGAGGGAGGGAGAGAGAGAGAGAGAAACACTGATATGAGAGACACATCGACTGGTTGCCACCCACATGACCCCAACCAGGGGCCGGGGACAAACTGCAACTGAGGTACGTGCCCTTAGCGGGAACCGAACCCACGTACCTCTGGTCCGTGGGCTGACGCTCTAAGCACTGAGCCAAACTGGCCAGGGCCTAATTTGATAATATTGTCCAGACAGGTCTAGAGGTGGTGTTGGGTGAAATACCCCATATTCTCCAGACTTTTTGGCCTTTTTTTTAAAAAAAAAAAAATGTTTTTATTGATTTCAGAGAGAGAAAGGGAGAGGGAGAGAGAGAGAAACATCGATGAAAGAGAAATCGATTGGCCGCCTCCTGCAAGCCCCCCATTGGGGGTTTGGCCCACAACCTGGGCATGTGCCCTGACCGGGAATAGAACCAGTGACCTCTTGGTGCATGGGTTGATGCTCAACCACTGAGCCACACCGGCCAGGCTGGCCTTTAACCCTTGAACTCCAAACTCTTTAACCCAGAGCTCACCGATAGAAGCGCAATGCAAGCTGCACATGTAATTTAAAATGTTCAAGTAGCCACATTTTTTAAAAATTTAAAAATTGGATTAATTTTAATATTTTATTTCACCTATATATCCAAAATGTTATCATTTCAACATAAATTAATATACAAAATTATTGAGATATTTTCCCTTTTTTAGTGTTTTGAGGGGTTAAGTCTTCAGAATCTGGTGTGAATGCTCCTTGGCCAGCACAGCTCAGCTATGACCAGCAGCATTACCAGTGCTCAGGGGCCCCGGGTGACCAGTGGCTTTAACTCCTTTCTAGTCTCCTAGTGGTCAGCACCTCCCCAGGAGGAAGTCTGGATTGCAGGACAGATACCAAGGCAACCAGGGTGGTGTGTGTGTGTGGCCTGGGAGCAGAGCAAAGGATCAGGGACCAGCTCCTGAGACTGGTGAGGACCAGCCTCTGGCCCAGAACAGCTCATCTCTTGCGTCCTGCCCCTCTCTACCCTGAACCCAGATCCCCTGCAGGCCAGTGCCCTCCACTCTCTCTGAGCAGCCTCTGTTGTGCCGGGAGGAAAGGGCAGCAAGGGGCAGGGGTCAGCTGCAGCCCACGCTTCCCACTTGGCTAGCCCAGTGCAAAGTCCATCCCTGTGAGTCTTGAACCGGGATTGTTTTTCTTGTTGCAGAGAACATGTCCCTGATCCCCACCATCTAAGCCACTCACAAAAGCAGAGACACCAGGCAAGGAGCATTCATCCTTCTCCAATATGCCCCCTTCTTGCCGCATTTCCAGTTCTTGGACAGAATTCAGGCAGACATCTGCATGATTCAAGTCCCCAAATACCCAGAATTGGATCTTCTGGCCTTAACAGCCTAGATAAGGCTGAGGAAATTTTACTTTAGACCCAGATTATCCAGAGAATGGCCTCAATTATGCTTGTCAGTTTATTTCTCTGGAGGTGCCCCTGGTGGGTCTGGCGAGGGAGGAGAGGGCAGTGATTTGGGTCTAGTATTGTTATGGGCAGGTAGGAAGCTGGCAGTTTCAGGGCTGCTAGTGGGATAGGTACACACACACACACACACACACACACACACACAGCCTCGCCCAATGAGAAGAGAAGTGTTCCTACTATGCTGGGCTGCGGGAGGAAGACAGGCAGGGCAGTTCCAACAGCTGGCCAGGGAAGGAGGAGCCTCGGCCCCATGGTTCTTTCCAGCGTTGCAGACACATTGCCAGTCTTGGCCCCATCTTAACAGCCCCTCCCCCCAACTACTAGACAGACACTTCCTCGGCCTGTACCAGCCTCTGGCCCTGCCACAGCACAGGGAGCCAGCCAGGTGGATGTCATTCCCCGACTAGCCCCACCTCTCAGACCTTTGGCTCACCCAGCCCAGTATCTTTAGCTTCTTTCCCCCGCCCCTCCCCCATCTACCACTCCAATGTCAAATTTTCATAAGAAGGCAGACAGTCCCCGGAGTCCCCTGTTCTCTACCTCAGAGTCTGAAATCCGGCCAAAGAGAGGGGGCATGCTGAGCCCATTTCAGAGCTGTCTCCCAGCGAGGGTCTTATTTTAGGGAACAGAGGCAAGCGGAGTCACCACTAATGAGGCTAGAGGCTAAGGCAGCGAGTGGCTGGCGTCTACGGAGAGGCCCTGTGGCCTCTGGGAAGCCACAAAAACTCACCAGATCCCAGCCTGACATCAAAGATGACCCTGTAGGGGTCACGCGGACACTGCTCTGTGGGCATGGGGCCAGCATCCGCCTGAACCTAGTGGTTCTCCCATGTGCAGGA